TTTGTTATATTAGCTTTTGGTTGAATGTACTGTCGTAGTAAATATATAATGTTATAGCTTGGTCTGACTAAAATCTTGTGCATGACCCATTTTGTGTTGGGCGTTTGTTTTCAATCAATGCTGTTCCTATCCTATAACAATGGACAAAAGAGTCCTATCTTGTCAGCCTTGTCAGCAGGTGGCCAAGGACAACACCCACGCCATAGGTCTCTCAGTTCTTCCAACTCACGAGTTCTTGCTCTGAGGACACACACACACACACACACACACACACATCATCACTGATAACACACACACACACACACATCATCACTGTTAAACACACACACACACACACACAAAAATCCCCTCTCTTTAGGCTGAACATTTGAAGACAGAGAACCCGACTCAGAGCCAATGCAACAGTGGAGGGGACCTCGCCCAACTCATCAGGACCAATCAGAAGATCAGAACTACTAGATTCAACCTACATCATTTATTGTATAAAATGTCTGCACACAATGTTTTCGGGGCTCTCTTCTCCCTAAGAGTTTGACGAACGAGTCCGTGCACGCGATTCCAGATATCTTTACCTCTGAATAAACTGCCTTTATTATACCATATCCACCCTGTCCAAAGTCTCTACTTGGTCTCAGTTCTCCAGTAAACTTGTGATTATCAACAGTACACAACGGTAACAAACAATTGGGGGAACTCACGGGGCAGATAGTAAGGTCGCAATGACACAGAAAGCAGTTCAATGTCGGGGTACAGAGTCGCTCTCTTACCAGGATCGCGGTCCGCTCTGACCAGGGTGAAGCCGGCCGGCTCCACTTCTCTGTCCGGGACTCTGTCATCCAGCCAAGTCTCCCAGCTGTATTGGGATTCCGCTGCCAGCAGCGTTTTCATTATTTAGTCCGTTCGTAGCGGGTATGTACACGATCAACAAGATCAGTCCAAAACCAACCACTGGAAATCCATGGTTGGCAGAATGTTTGTAAACTAAGTCTACAAATTAAAAACATAAAATAACGCCACACTGCAGGTCGCAACAGAGACGCTGCTAGCCGCTATTGTCTTAGTTACGTTCATGGTTACGTCACGTATGACGAAAGCGCGTAAGTGCAAGCCCACAGACACCCATAGAGAATGTATTGAAAGCTTTGAAATTTGAAAAAAATAGATTTTACATGACAGGCTATGAGAGACTTCTGGGCGATTTTCAACTTGACTGAAATCGCCCCAAAAACGGGCGGGGCCATTTGAAGCACGACTTTAGCCTGATTTGACATTTAGTGGCTGGCAGATCAGACGTGAACACTGATAACTACTGTTGCCGTGATATAATTGATTAGAAAAAAAATCCCTTCCTTTTCCCGTTTGGCAGTGCGTCGCCCATATCGCCCTATTGAACAGGCCGTCCCTGATGAGCGGACGGGCAGTGCCATTGAGGTCATCTCTAATTTGAAGTAGTCCATTTTTATTCTACTACTTCTATGACTTGGTAAACAAACTGAAAGGGTACATACTGCCACCTGAATTGTATTGTTTGAACAGGTATAAAGCCAAGGTTGGTGATTTACTGCCACCTGCAGTTATGGAATGTTTGCTCACAAGTATAATTCAGTGGCTGATCCTTCCTCATGACCTGGATGGAATTATGTGAACCTTCCTCAACTCATAGAAAGTCTCACCCAGTTGACTTGTGCAAAATGGTGAAAGTCCTCAATGGTGCTGTCCATGCTAAAACAGGCTTTTGGGTCCCCTATACATCTCTATGGCTAAACTCTACTGTACAAGCGCATCACCAACATAAATTCTAAAGTGGACAGGGTTCAACTCTTACCTGCACCAGTGCTTTACTTCTCTTGGTTTTCCTTCAATTTTGACACTATCTTCTGTATGACAGAAAGATTACAGGTCAAATCATGGCCGACATGTCCATGCCTGACTGTTCAAAAAACAACCTTGACCATACCATACAGATACCCATCTTAAAATCCCAAAGAGCAAGCAATGCAGATGTAGAAGCACAGTGGCTAGGAAAATCTCCCTAGAAAGGCAGGAACCTTGAAGAAACCTAGAGAGGAAACAGCTTCAGAGGGGTGTCCAGTCCTCTTCTGGCTGGGTATTCTAGAAAAAGAGCTCTACGAATTCAGAATTTTCTTGATCAGAAATTGGTCAGAATATACTTGGTAAGACTATATCAGTTTCAAAGTGGCTAATTGAGACTCCCTTGCTAATACACACTTGTGACTTCGATCAGCCGACACATTGGTGCGGCTGGCTTCTGGGTTATGCGAGTAGTGTGTCAAGAAGCTATTAATTCAGATCAAAAGTACAGCATTTTGGTGATATTTTTGTGATCATATCTGAAGAAAGTAAGGAACCCTGGCACACCTTGAACAATAGACAGGTTGGTTGTTTAGAGAGTGCACAACTATGGGGCAAAACAGACAGAGCTGGATTAGATTGTTGACAACATAAAAGCTATATTTCGTCTCCAATGTTTATTGAAAACATCAATACATTTGCACAATGAGCACTTGCTGTCTCTCAAATACATTGCTACAGTTGTTGCTTAGCTAGCAGCGGTCTAAGGCACTATAGATCCGGGTTCGATCCTGGGCTGTGTCGCAGCCGGCCGTGACCGGGAGACCCATGAGGCGGCGCACAATTGGCCCAGCGTCGTCTGGGTTAGGGGAGGGTTTGGCCGGCTGGGATGTCCTTGTCCCATCATGCTCTAGCGACTCCTTGTGGTGGCCGGGCGCATTCATGCTGACTTCGATCAGCCGACACATTGGTGCGGCTGGCTTCTGGGTTATGCGAGTAGTGTGTCAAGGAGCAGTACGGCTTGGCGGGGTCGTGTTTCAGAGGACACATGGCTCTAGACCTTCGCCTCTCCCGAGTCCAATTGTAACTACCAATTGGGGAGAAAAAGGGGGAAAAAGTCCCAAAATAAATACTGAACTTCCCCTTTAAGTGTCTTTACCAAGTATTTAGGCAAAATATATGTTGTCTCATTGCAATGCCCATAAAATGAAACATAAACATTCGTAACAAGAAGATATCCCAAAATATGCTACAGTATTTTCACATCCAATCACAGAGAATAATGCTCCACCATCATCAGTGTTTCCAGCAAGCTTCTTTAATGATATTTGAACATTTTAAGTTGTGTAGTTTTGGCCGATATTCCCAACTCATATTTCCCTCCCTCTACCCAGGAAGATTAACTGAAATAAAATGAAGACACATTTTGCAATATTTCCTTTCATTTTAAACAATAGCTCAGTCAAATTTAAATCTCTCATCTAAAATAACTATTTACGTTTTCAACAGAGCCAGAGACCATAATAATAGTGCTCATAATAATATAATAAAAATATAACGTCTAGACAAAAATAATAAAAATACAGATGACATTTTATATTTTAGGGATACCTTGCAGTCTTATTCTCTCCTCATTTTAGTAGTTTCTGTCAAAGTAATACATGACTGTATGATGTAGAAAGCAGGAGAGAGAGAAAAAAAAGGTGAAGATTGCTCTTATTTTAAGAGATGCAGTGTTGTTCATAACTGTTACGTTTTTTTTAAACATTTAAAATAGTCCATAGAAGTCCTTAAAAAAAATAAGCGTTCTTTTCAGCTATTTCTTCTTTCTTTTTTTTCATCCAAGAATCCAAGCCAAGTCTTCCGGCTGGTAAAAGTAATATATTTGTTGTGCCAGTCTTTTCTCAATCCAACCATAAAATTACACAGGTCCTGTGCTCTCACCCCAGAAGCTTATTTATGAGTTAAGACTTCCTCAGTAGCTTGTACACAAAGGACGATGTACAGTAACGTAGAGAGTTTGGAGTTCCAAAAACAGAAAAATGGAAGGTATACAGAAACTGGGTACAGAGCTGGGGGTGATTGTTCCCCCATCCAGGAAGGTCCCTATCAATTAGGAATGGATTAATACTACATTACTTCAGGGGAAAGTCAATAACTGGAATGACAGACTGTCCTCTTGTAATTTACTATATCACACCACGTGTCACAACACAAGCCAGAGGAGATACAGCCACACCATGTAGCTCTTACCGGTATATTTTTATCACCTCACCACTGACAGCATATCACTGAAATATCTCTAGAGAAAATGGAGTTCATTATTGTCTATTTATCCTTACACCATCTGCTGTGAACAAGACCAAGGCTTCATGCTAATGATGCAGGTTAGCAAAGTGGACCAATCTAGCAGACCGATCTAGTCCTTTTTCTTGAGATCCACTAAATCACTTGAGGACCTCTTAAAGGGAGAATCCTAACTTAAGGGAACATTTGACTTAAGTGGAAGTTACAATAGGATTCACCCCTAAGTGATTAAATAATTACTTCAGGACGTCTTAAGATACCTAATCCAAATCTACAAGGCTTTTAGTGTTGTAGGCATGATGGGGGGTTAACTTAACATAGTATTACATTTGGAAGTTGTGTAAAAACATTGATTAAACTTGACATTTTTTTGTTCTAGCTGAATTTGATCAATCATGGAATGATTCCAACTGAAGAGGTATGTATATTGACCACCCTCTCCACCCCGCATCTTCTGCACACTTCTCACTTTGCTATGCCTTTGCTATGGTGATCCTCCAGGTCCAAACCATTAACCACAACACAGCAGTGCTTTAAATTGGACTATAGCATCACGTACAGTTGTGTTTCTGACCCCCCGCTGGATACACTGAAAGTGGTGCGTTCCGAATGCACGTGAGCAATGGGAAGATTACACTCTTATTCACAGGAGGAGAAAAAAGATGCAGGGGTTGAAAAATAACTTCAATCCCTATCTAGTAATATCCTGATGTTGGTTGTAGTCGGTACACTCTGAGCAGCACTTGTCTTAATTTCCAAAGTGGGGGGTTTTGGGGTGGAATGGTCCTTGTGAGAACGCTGTGTGAGAGTTGTGACGTTCTTTTCCCTGATTGCCATGTGTGTCTGGGGGGGGGAGGGGGCCTGCGGGGGTCCCCTGATCATTCCAGTCTCCACTGTGGGCCACAGCAGTATGAGAGGGGTGGGGGGCTGAGGTGGTGGGCCTCCAGAGGAAGGAAGAGGTGACCAGGTGTCCCCCGCCGTGTCACTCCTTTGTCCTCTTGTGGTGGAGGGAAAGGGGCTCTGTCATCACTAACTCTTATCTGGAGTGCGAGAGAGACAACAAAGAGAGAAATAATGAACACCTATTTCGATTTTGCCCTTTGATATCTGACCACAAAACGTATACTTATGATAACTAACAACAAATCTGGTTTGAAGTTGTGATACGTATTCTGTTTGTTGTCCCGTGTGTACGGTTTACTCAAACTTCAATGCTTGCAGAAATAACTATGTATCGGTGGAGCACAAGATATATCTACAGTGAGGGAAAAAAGTATTTGATCCCCTGCTGATTTTGTACGTTTGCCCACTGACAAAGAAATGATCAGTCTATAATTTTAATGGTAGGTTTATTTGAACAGTGAGAGACAGAATAACAACAAAAATATCCAGAAAAACGAATGTCAAAAATGTTATCAATTGATTTGCATTTTAATGAGGGAAATAAGTATTTGACCCCCTCTCAATCAGAAAGATTTCTGGCTCCCAGGTGTCTTTTATACAGGTAACGAGCTGAGATTAGGAGCACACTCTTAAAGGGAGTGCTCCTAATCTCAGTTTGTTACCTGTATAAAAGACACCTGTCCACAGAAGCAATCAATCAATCAGATTCCAAACTCTCCACCATGGCCAAGACCAAAGAGCTCTCCAAGGATGTCAGGGACAAGATTGTAGACCTACACAAGGCTGGAATGGGCTACAAGACCATTGCCAAGCAGCTTGGTGAGAAGGTGACAACAGTTTGTGCGATTATTCGCAAATGGAAAAAACACAAATGAAACTGTCAATCTTCCTCGACCTGGGGCTCCATGCAAGATCTCACCTCGTGGAGTTGCAATGATCATGAGAACGGTGAGGAATCAGCCCAGAACTACACGGGAGGATCTTGTCAATGATCTCAAGGCAGCTGGGACCATAGTCACCAAGAAAACAATTGGTAACACACTACGCCGTGAAGGACTGAAATCCTGCAGCGCCCGCAAGGTCCCCCTGCTCAAGAAAGCACATATACAGGCCCGTCTGAAGTTTGCCAATGAACATCTGAATGATTCAGAGGAGAACTGGGTGAAAGTGTTGTGGTCAGATGAGACCAAAATCGAGCTCTTTGGCATCAACTCAACTCGCCGTGTTTGGAGGAGGAGGAATGCTGCCTATGACCCCAAGAACACCATCCCCACCGTCAAACATGGAGGTGGAAACATTATGGTTTGGGGGTGTTTTTCTGCTAAGGGGACAGGACAACTTCACAGCATCAAAGGAACGATGGACGGGGCCATGTACCGTCAAATCTTGGGTGAGAACCTCCTTCCCTCAGCCAGGGCATTGAAAATGGGTCGTGGATGGGTATTCCAGCATGACAATGACCCAAAACACACGGCCAAGGCAACAAAGGAGTGGCTCCAGAATGAGCACATTAAGGTCCTGGAGTGGCTTAGCCAGTCTCCAGACCTTAATCCCATAGAAAATCAGTGGAGGGAGCTGAAGGTTCGAGTTGCCAAACGTCAGGCTCGAAACCTTAATGACTTGGAGAAGATCTGCAAAGAGGAGTGGGACAAAATCCCTCCTGAGATGTGTGCAAACCTGGTGGCCAACTACAAGAAACGTCTGACCTCTGTGATTGCCAACAAGGGTTTTGCCACCAAGTACTAAGTCATGTTTTGCAGAGGGGTCAAATACTTATTTCCCTCATTAAAATGCAAATCAATTTATAACATTTTTTACATGCGTTTTTCTGGATGTTTTTGTTGTTATTCTGTCTCTCACTGTTCAAATAAACCTACCATTAAAATTATAGACTGATCATGTCTTTGTCAGTGGGTAAACGTACAAAATCAGCAGGGGATCAAATACTTTTTTCCCTCACTGTACGCTCATGTACTCTAAAGCCCTTTCAAGCATGCTGTGCATGCGAACTACTGTTGTATCTGTTCATGATCAGTAAAGTATCAGGGTGCGTCCCAAATGACACCCTCTTTCCCATAAATTACACTACTTTTGAGAGCTCTATGGGCCCTGGTCAAAAGTAGTCCACTATATAGGGTATAGGGTATCATATGGGATGCAGTATCAAGAATTCACAGTACCTTTGTTCTCCTCTGTGTCAGCAGTTGTTTCAGTCAGCCTTTGGCGCAGTTCATTATACTTGGTCTCCACTTCCTGAAAGCAGATTGTTGACAGAAACTTAGCTCTGGTAGAACAGATGAACATACAGATGGATAGAATTAGTGTATGGGTGGATGGATGGATGAATAGAAAAATATAATAGTATGGGCAAACAGGCAGATTGACAAACAGATGTCTGGATCATGCCGCGTGAGAGACTGAATGATAGACATTTAATAACTTTACCTATAAAGTGCTTTTCATACATTTCACTCAAAGCGTGAGTTCTGGGCCGAAGATGCCCTGAGGCACACATCAAAGATCAGCTAAGAACACAAAACTGACCTTAGCATTTGAAGCCAGGTCTGACCTATATGTCACTTTTTGGGCGACCTGACTAAATTCCAATAGAAATATGAGTTATAGATCTGTAATTCTCATTGAAAGCAAGTCTAAGAAGCAGTAGATCTGTTCTTTGTGTGCTATTTCTATGCTTCCCATTCTTAAGTTTCGTTTTTGCGTCTTTTACTTTCAGTTTTGTACACTAGGTTCAAACAGCTGAAAATACAATATTTCACAACGGTTTAGATGGTACAATTATTCTCTACACTATACTTGCTTGTTTTGTCACATAAACTGAAATTAGGCTAACTATTAGAATTTTAGGAACCAGGAAATGGTGGAGCGATTTCTGCATAGTGCACCTTTAAGCGCTTACTCTAGCCTGCCTGAAGTGCTAAATGGGTGTGGTTTGCCATTTTGGGACTATTCTAATCGGTCCAAGTCAGGCAAACTCAATCAAGCACGTAAATTATTAAGGGATACTTTGGGATTTTGGCAATGAGGCCATTTAACTACTTCCCCAGAGGCAGATGAACTCGTGGATACCATTTTTATGTCTCTGCGTGCTGTTTGAATGTTATTGTGCTAAGGCTGATTAGCATTGGCTCGTGAAACTACCTCTAACTTCCTTCATACTGGACACAGAGATATAAAAACGGTATCCACAAGTTAATCTAACTCTGGGGAAGTAGATAAAGGGCATCATTGCCAATATCCAGAGGTATCCCTTTAAATTATTTCAAATAGTATTTGAACCCAGGTCTGAAACTTCATGTTACTTAAAGGGGGGTGAAGGAGGTTGATGGTGTACCTTTAGATGCTGCAGGTTGGCCTGGAGCAGGCGGAGGTGGGTCATGATCTGGCGGCTGAGGTTGGGGCCGGCACCACCTGTCTGCGAGGAGGAGGAGAGCAGCTTCTTCAGGTCGATGTCCGGGCCCCATTGGGCCCCGCCCCCACCATCCGTGCTGCTCTCCCCCGAGGCCCCGTAGCCCTCCAGGACCATGTAACTGCCTGGGGGGGGGGGGGGTAGGAAAGAAAGAAAGAAAGAAAGAAAGAAAGAAAGAAAGAAAGAGAGAGAGAGAGAGAGAAAAATGGGTAAGTTATGCCCACCTGAGTACTTTAACTTTCATAATTAAAAAGGAGGAACCGCAAACATGTATTATGATAATTTATTATAAAACATCAGCTATAGGAACAAAATGCTATAAAAGCACAAAAAAAAGCTATAGGATATCCTAACTTCCACTTCAGTAGAATTAGAACTTGGTCCCTATTGACATCGATGCATGACTAAGTGAAATTCTTCTTAAGCGGAAGGGGATTCACCCCTTAGGTTTTCTGCCTTGAATGTCCCAGTTGGCTCACCATAGTCCTCGGAAGTCTCAAAGAAACCTGTGTCCCCAGACCGGAGTTTCATGGACCCCGGGGTCCCCTCCTCCCTCCCTGCCTCGGTTCTCTCCGAGGCGCCGTTTTCAGAGGAGCCAGTAGAGGGTGCTGCTGCGCTCCTTGGGGCCGAGGTACTGCTGTTATTGTCCTCGGGGCCCCTCAGGGACGTGGTCCTCAGCAGGCGGCCCCCAGGGGCCCGGCCCTTCCTCTGCTCCTTCTCTTTCTCCTTCCCCTTCTCTTTGTCCTTATCGCTGCCCTCCGCTCTGCTCGTCATGTGGTTGAGAAGGACCTGCCTCAGGGCTGCCACTGGGATAAGGAGAGAGAGAGAGACAGGGTGGTTATAGAGCTTCTACAGGGTCATGTTCATTAGGCTAAGAAGAAACACTCATTTTTGGTTTCTGTTGCAAAACATTTTGAGTGTGCCATTCAATGTGTCATTCTATCACTGTATGTGACATATTGGTCTAAGGCTAAGGCAATGAACTCACAGGTTCTTAGGGCCTCCTCGGCTCTGGAGGGGGGCATGCCGAAGGTGTCATCGGGCTCCTGGTCGTCGATGGCAATGCCCTGGCGTGACCTCTCCTGGAGGAAGGGCAGTCTGTCTGCTAGCTCTCCATCCAGAAACGCTTCAATTTCCTCCTCGTCTACCTCCTCCACTTCCTCCTCCTCTTCTTGTTCTTCTCTTCTGTCTGGCAGTGGCGAGTCCTCTTCTTCCTCGTCGTCTGATTTGACGCCGTCAAATGGGTTGGTCGATGTGGGCATTGGTTGCAGACCCGGCGAGGAAGTGACGTCTTTTTCTAGGGGACACAGACACGTGTAATGAAGTTGTTACAGCTGCTGGAAGCATAGTCAAACTCACATTACCTTTCATAGGGTTGAAGGTTGAAATCATTTATTAAGTGTCTAGTTATTGATACCTGGGGACTCGGTACATCCCATGGAGGTGCGCTCAGGGTCTTTGCTCAGTTTGGGCACCCCCGTGCTGATAATCTCCACTGCGTCTCGCTCCGCACTGCAACACACATGCCAAACGCATGCATGCACACACACACACACAAACGTAAATTATAAACTAGGGCGATGTGAAACGGGAGCCTTTTTTCATTAGAAAGCAGAGTATATAAAAGTACATATAAGATAAAGCCAAAAAGGCCAGTGAACTCACTCGGTCTGTGGTAAAGGTATGATGTTGTGCGTTTCCGTCTTCATGGTTTCTGCGCTCTGCGTTATCAGACACTGCCACCTAGTGGATGGGAGAAGTTAATGAGAAACAGAGCAAACAGAGATAGAGCTCATCCCGTATTTCTGGCAAGTGCGCCATCTACAGTGCCTTCAGAAAGTTCACACCCCTTGACTTTTCCACATTTTGTTGTGTTTCAAAGCGGGATTAAAATGGATTTAATTGTCATTTTTGGCCAACGATCTACACAAAGTACTCTAACATTTATTAAAAATGTATGAAAAAACATGAATATATCTCGTGGATGATGACCGCCCCCTCCCCGACAGGGCTAAGGGTGTGTGTGGCGTACCGCGGACAAGCCACCAGGGGGAGTCGTCGGAGGGGACGGAAGGGCGACCCCACCACCGTACTCCCCAATCCGACAGTCAGCCGAGCTAAAGGACTTCAGACCCGCGGAGAGACAGCCGGGGGAGTGTCGACCCGCCGCCGCCGACCCCAGGTGGATGAAGACCAAAGGAGGTGTTTTGAGTGTGACGCCCGGGGACACCTCGCATGGAATTGCCCGGGTCGAGAGAAGTCAATGCCATCAGCAGGCCCCGGAGACGAGCCGGGCCACGCAGTAAACTACGTCACATCATGTTGGGCCCACAGCAAACCACCAGCACCCATGGTCCCGGTGAAAGTCGACGGTCACGACACCCACGCTCTGTTGGATTCCGGGAGTGTGGTAACGCTCGTACAAGCGTGCCTGCTGGCCCATCCGACCGACCACGGTGAGGAGATGTCTATCTCCTGTGTCCACGGCGACACCAAGCGGTATTCGACCGGGCAGGCCACCATCGTGACGCCACAAGGGAGCTGCCAGATGAGGGTGGGTGCCGTACCTGAGTTGCCGGTACCCCTCCTCGTGGGACGAGATTGTCCGCTGTTCGCGGCACTGTGGAGGCATGAGCTGGGAAAAAGAGTACGAGATGGCGACCGACGAGAGCGGGGACGAACCGGGATGAGGCGGGCCGTGGAAGACTATTGCCGCAGCTGCCCGGAGTGTCAAATCACCGCCCCCAAAAGCACACTTCCGGAACTCGCTGGTTCCCCTACCGATCATCGGAGTGCCGTTTGAACGCATTGCCATATAGTGGGCCCCCCTGGTAATAGTAGATTATGCCACCCGATATCCCGAAGCCATTCCCCTACTGGCGGCAGTCTCCAAGGGAATCGCCCGGGAGCTGTTCCACCTCTTCAGCCGGGTGGGCATCCCGAACGAGATCCTGACCGACCAAGGTACCAAGTTCATGTCCCGACTAATGATAGATTTGTGTGGTCTCCTACAGATAAAGCAGATCCGGACCTCCGTCTTTCACCCGCAGATGGATGGGCTCGTCGAACGGTTCAATAAAACGCTCAAACAAATGCTGTGGAAGGTCATCGAGCGGGACGGGAAGAACTGGGACCAGCTACTACCCCACCTAATGTTCTCATTCCGACAAGTGCCCCAGGCCTCCACTGGGTTTCCCCCTTTTGAACGACATTAGTTTGTTCGACGCCTACCCCATGCCGAGGGTGGACGAGCTCATCGACCGGTTGGGAAAGGCCTGGGACATCAGCACCCTGGACCTGACCAAGAGATATTGGCAGGTACCAATGACAGCCTCCTCCCGGGAGAAGACTGCATTCTCGACACCGGACAGCATATACCAATACCGGGTCCTCCAGTTCGGTCTCGTGACACCCGATTTCCAGGTACCGATGCTGGTGCAGATGGATGCCTGTGACACGGGGGCAGTCCTGTCCCAGGTACACGATGGGGAGTTTGATACCCCGAGAAAATAAGTACTCGATTGTAGAGAAAGAGTGTCTAGCGTTGAAGTGAGCGCTAGACACTCTTAAGGATTACCTGTTGGGCACCCACTTCACCCTGGTCACAGACCATGCTCCCCTGGTCTGGATGGCCAGGGGAAAGGGCCCGAACGATCGAGACACCAGGTGGTTCTTGTCCCTTCAATGCTTCTCTTTTTCTGTTGTGCACAGGTCAGGGGCAAAGCATGGGAATGCGGATGACGACCGCCCCCTCCCCGACAGGGCTAAGGGGGTGTGTGGCGTACCGCGGACAAGCCACCAGGGGGAGACTCGTCGAGGCCTGGTGACAGACGGAGTCTACATCACACGGCGGTGGCTCCCTCTGCTGGACGTGCCAGGTCTCAACGGGTCCTCTGGCCAGGACTAATTGGGGCTGATTGCTCACCAGCCGTACAGGGCCCATAAAGCTGCCAGCAGGGCAGCACATGGGAGGGTTTTTTGGAGCTAGTGAGAGGTTGTTACCAGACAGATGTCCTCACGGTCTAATAGAACCGAGGGGCTCGGTGTTCTACCCAAGAGGAGACAGCATTCCCCGGAGCCCAGAAGGCGGTAACCCGGAAGAGGTATTGGCCCTCCTATAGCTCAGTTGGTAGAGCATGGCGCTTGCAATGCAAGGATTGTGGGTTCGTTTCCCACGGAGGGCCAGTATGAAAAATGTATGCACTCACTAATTGGAAGTCGCTCTGGATAAGAGCGTCTGCTAAATGACTAAAATGTAAAAGTCTCCTGGAGGAGACCGGTTTCTTTTCTTTTTCTTTATTGTTTTAAATAAACACCCTTGAAACTGAGGTATCACACTTGTGTCTGATCTGTGTAAACGTCTTGATCAAACCCCCTGGTCTGCCACACTTGATTAGGTAAGTATTCACCACCCTGAGACAATACAGGTTAGAAACACCTTTGGCAGCGATTACAGCAGTGAGTCATTTTGGGTCTCTAAGAGCTTTGCACACCTGGATTGTACAATATTTGCCCATTCTTTTAAATATGATTCAAGCTCTGTCAAGTTGGTTGTTGATCATTGCTAGAAAGCTATTTTCAAATTTTTCCAAGCCAATTTAAGTCAAAACTGTAACTAGGACACTCAGGAACATTCAATGTCGTCTTGGTAAGCAACGCCGGTGTAGATTTGGCTTTGTGTTTTAGGTTATTGTCCTGCTGATTTGTCTCCCAGTGTATGTTGCCTGTGCTTAGCTGTATTCCCAAACATAACGCTTTGTATTCAGGACAAAAAGTTAATTTCTTTGCCACATGTTTTGCAGTATTACTTAAGTGCTTTGTTGCAAACAGGATGCATGTTTTGGAATATTTTTTATTCTGTACAGGCTTCATTCTTTTCACTCTTTCATTTAGGTTAGTATTGTAGAGTAACTACAATGGTGTTGATCCATCCTCAGTTTTCTCATATCACAACCATTAAACTCAAACTGTTAAAAATCACCATTGGCCTCACAGTGAAATCCCTGAGCAGTTTTCTTCCTCTCCGGCAACTGAGTTAGGATGGACGCCTGTATCTTTGTAGTGACTGGGTGTATTGATACACCATACAAAGTGTAATTAATAACTTCACCATGCTCAAAGGGATACTAAGCCTCTACAAATAGGTCAAATCAAATTGTATTTGTCACATGCGCCGAATACAACAGCTGTAACCCTTACAGTGATATGCTTACTTTCAAGCCCTTAACCAACAATGTAGTTTTAAGAAAGAATACCCCAAAAAATCACAAATAAATACAATATAAAATAATACAGAATAAAAGTAACAAATAATTAAAGAGCAGCAGTAAAAATAACAGAGTGAATGTGCGGGGGCACTGGTTAGTCGAGGTAATTGGGGTTTGCCCACTGACAAAGACATGATCAGTCTATAATTTTAATGGTAGGTTTATTTGAACAGTGAGAGACAGAATAACAACAACAAAATCCAGAAAAACACATGTCAAAAATGTTATAAATTGATTTGCATTTTAATGAGGGAAATAAGTATTTGACCCCTCTGCAAAACATGACTTAGTACTTGGTGGAAAAACCCTTGTTGGCAATCACAGAGGTCAGACGTTTCTTGTAGTTGGCCACCAGGTTTGCATACATCTCAGGAGGGATTTTGTCCCACTCCTCTTTGCAGATCTTCTCCAAGTCATTAAGGTTTCGAGGCTGACGTTTGGCAACTCGAACCTTCAGCTCCCTCCACAGATTTTCTATGGGATTAAGGTCTGGAGACTGGCTAGGCCACTCCAGGACCTTAATGTGCTTCTTCTTGAGCCACTCCTTTGTTGCCTTGGCCGTGTGTTTTGGGTCATTGTCATGCTGGAATACCCATCCACGACCCATTTTCAATGCCCTGGTTGAGGGAAGGAGGTTGTCACCCAAGATTTGACGGTACATGGCCCCGTCCATCGTCCCTTTGATGCGGTGAAGTTGTCCTGTCCCCTTAGCAGAAAAACACCCCCAAAGCATAATGTTTCCACCTCCATGTTTGACAGTGGGGATGGTGTTCTTGGGGTCATAGGCAGCATTCCTCCTCCTCCAAACACATTGAGTTGATGCCAAAGAGCTCGATTTTGGTCTCATCAGACCACAACACTTTTACCCAGTTCTCCTCTGAATCATTCAGATGTTCATTGGCAAACTTCAGACGGGCCTGTATATGTGCTTTCTTGAGCAGGGGGACCTTGTGGGCGCTGCAGGATTTCAGTCCTTTACGGCGTAGTGTATTACCAATTGTTTTCTTGGTGACTATGGTCCCAGCTGCCTTGAGATCATTGACAAGAACCTCCCGTGTAGTTCTGGGCTGATTCCTCACCGTTCTCATGATCATTGCAACTCCACGAGGTGAGATCTTGTATGGCGCCCCAGGCCAAGGGAGATTGACAGTTCTTTTGTGTTTCTTCCATTTGCGAATAATCGCACCAACTGTTGTCACCTTCTCACCAATCTACTTGGTGATGGTCTTGTAGCCCATTCCAGCCTTGTGTAGGTCTACAATCTTGTCCCTGTCATCCTTGGAGAGCTCTTTGGTCTTGGCCATGGTGGAGAGTTTGGAATCTGATTGATTGATTGCTTATGTGGACAGGTGTCTTTTATACAGGTAACAAGTTGAGATTAGGAGCACTCCCTTTAAGAGTGTGCTCCTAATCTCAGCTCGTTACCTGTATAAAATACACCTGGGTGCCAGAAATCTTTCTGATTGAGAGGGGGTAAAATACTTATTTCCCTCATTAAAATGCTAATCAATTTATAACATTTTTGACATGCGTTTTTCTGGATGTTTTTGTTGTTATTCTGTCTCTCACTGTTCAAATAAACCTACCATTAAAATTATAGACTGATCATGTCTTTGTCAGTGGGCAAACGTACAAAATCAGCAGGGGATCAAATACTTTTTTCCCTCACTGTAGGTAGAGTTATTAAAATGACTATGCATAGATAATAAACAGAGTAGCAGCAGCATAAAAGGGGGGGGGGGGGCAATTCAAATAGTCTGGGTAGCCATTTGATTAGAAGTTCAGGAGTCTAATGGGTTGGGGGTAGAAGCTGTTTAGAAGCCTCTTGGACCTAGACTTGGCGCTCTGGTACCGTGCAGAGAGAACAGTCTTTGCCAATTTTTAGGGCATTCTTCTGACACCGCCTGGTATAGAGGTCCTGGATGGCAGGAAGCTTGGCCCCAGTGATGTACTGGGCCTTACGCACTACCCTCTGTAGTGCCTTGCGGTCCGAGGCCGAGCAGTTGCCATACCAGGCAGTGATGCAACCAGTCAGGATGCTCTCGATGGTGCAGCTGTAGAACCTTTTGAGGATCTGAGGACCCTTGCCAAATATTTTCAGTCTCCTTCAGGGGAATAGGTTACTCCACACACAGAAACGCGTACAAAGATCTCCCTCGCCCACCATTTGGAAAATCTGACCATAATTCTATCCTCCTGATTCCTGCTTACAAGCAAAAACTAAAGCAGGACGCACCAGTGACTCGGTCAATAAAAAAGTGGTCAGATGAAGCAGATGCTAAGCTACAGGACTGTTTTGCTAGCACAGACTGGAATATGTTCTGGGACTCTTCCGATGGCATTGAGGAGTACACCACATCAGTCACCGGCTTCATCAATAAGCGCATCGATGAAGTCGTCCCCACAGTGACTGTACGTACATACCCCAACCAGAAGCTATGGATTACAGGCAACATCCGCACTGAGCTAAAGGGTAGAGCTGCCGCTTTCAAGGAGCGGGACTCTAACCCGGAAGCTTATAAGAAATTCCGCTATGCCCGCCGACTAACCATCAAACAGGCAAAGCGTCAATACAGGACTAAGATCGAATCATACTACACCGGCTCCGATGCTCGTCGGATGTGGCAGGGCTTGCAAACTATTACAGACTACAAAGGGAAGCACAGCCGCAAGCTGCCCAGTGACACGAGCCTACCAGATGAGCTAAATCACTTCTATGCTCACTTCGAGGCACGCAACACTGAAACATGCATGAGAGCATCAGCTGTTCCGGATGACTGTGTGATAACGCTCTCCGTAGCCGATGTGAGTAAGACCTTTAAACAGGTCAACATTCACAAGGCCGCAGGGCCAGACGGATTACCAGGACGTGTACTTCGAGCATGCGCTGACCAACTGGCAAGTGTCTTCACTGACATTTTCAACCTCTCCCTGTCTGAGTCTGTAATGTCCAACATGTTTCAAGCAGACCACCATAGTCCCTGTGCCCAAGAACCCTAAGGTAACCTGCCTAAATGACTACCGACCCGTAGCACTCACATCTGTAGCCATGAAGTGCTTTGAAAGGCTGGTCATGGCTCACATCAACACCATTATCCCAGAAACCCTAGACCCACTCCAATTTGCATATCGCCCCAACAGATCCACTGATGATGCAATCTCTATTGCGCTCCACACTTCCCTTTCACACCTGGACAAAAGGAACACCTATGTGAGAATGCTATTCATTGTCTACAGCTCAGCGTTCAACACCATAGTGCCCTCAAAGCTCATCACTAAGCTAAGGACCCTGGGACTAAACACCTCCCTCTGCAACTGGATCCTGGACTTCCTGACGGGCTGCCCCCCAGGTGGTAAGGGTAGGTAACAACACATCCGCCACGCTGATCCTCAACACGGGGGCCCCTCAGGGGTGCGTGCTCAGTCCCCTCCTGTACTCCCTGTTCACTCATGACTGTATGGCCAGGCACAACTCCAACACCATCATTAAGTTTGCCGATGACACAACAGTGTTAGGCCAGATCACCAACAACGACAAGACAGGTGCCCTTCTTTGCAAGGCATTGAAAAACCTCGCTGGCTTTTGTGCTTGAATCTTTGCTTGAAATTCACTACTCGATTGAGGGACCTTACAGATCATTGTATGTGTGGGGTGCAGAGATGAGGTAGTCATTCAAATCATGTTCACCACTATTATTAAACACAGAATGAGTCCATGCAACTTATGTGATTTGTCAAGCACATTTTTACTCCTGAACTTATTTAGGCTTGCCAAGGCAGCAGCTACTCTTCCTGGGGTCCAGCAAAATTAAGGCAGTTATACAATTTTAAAAACATTACAATACATTCACACCCGATTTCACAACACATTAAGTGTGTGCCCTCTGGAAAACCTGTATCTCTTTGAGCGCAACTTAGTTTGGAGGGACCAAGCAAATCCAGATTTTTCAGATATCTTGGTTGGAGGATTCCGTCCTTGCTTAGTCCCCCCTGGAATCCTTCACCTGGGATTTCTGGAAAACCTGGGAACTTTCGGAAAGTGTCCAGAATTTTGCAATCCTAGTTCCAGCCAGGTAACAAACTGAATGGGACGCTTGAATAAAGTGACTTTAGGATGAAAATGGACAGACTTACATTCTTTGCTCGGACACGGTCTGGGCCATCAGCTCGTAGATCTGGGCTCCGTTGTCGGACATAGACAGCACAAAGAAGGACTTGTTGTCTGTCAGGGGAAGAGATAGAATATCATTAGAACATACAGTATATTATATTGACAGTCTTCTATGTTGTCTTTCCTATGTTGTCTTTCCTCTCCAAAGCCCACTAGATATAGCCTGGTCCCAGATCTGTTTGTGCTGTATAGCCAACTCTAATGTAGCCTTGTCACATCAGTAAAACAGAATGTGAGCTATTGCAAGATCAGGCAGGTTCCACCAAGCTTACGCCAATGGTCACTGTCATGCCAAACATGGTGGTTGGCAAGACTGCACAAACAGATCTGGGACCAGGCTACCACAGATATGTTGCTTGAAGCAATTTGATCGGATATGACTCCAGGAGCCTTTTCAGTGGGACGCAACATTCAGAACGTCACAGATGGAAACGGAACATATAGAGCAAAAACTATTTCGATCTGAATTTTTAAAAACATTTCACAATAAATAACCCCCTTAAAGGGGAAATAAGCTGTTGTTACATAAATGTTTTGACTTATAGATTAATGTACCTATTGATTCTTGAAGAATATAACTTATAAATGCCTCATGAGCTTAGTTCAGCTGTCGTACCCCATCAGAACCCAAAATATAAGTCTGTGGTTAAAACTATAATGTTGATACAATGGATTGTCATCCATAGCTCTGTCTATGAATTTGAGGGTGGTTACATTTCTCAAGCCCCATCCCTCAGCGTTTTACTGAAACGGGTGAGGGAGAACGCTTTGTTATTGTTAGAACTGAACTGAATTGAATGGACACACCGGTGGCCACCGAGCGCACCAGCACGGTGTTGAGCTTGATGATGGGGCTGAAGATGTGCTTGGTGTCAGCGGTGCCCGCCAAGTTCTTGCTGTGGCACTTGAGGACCAACCGCTCATCCTGCTTCTGCAGCAGCACCAGGATATCCTCCAGGAGCAACGTGTACAGCTCTGAGGGCACAGGAGGAAGTTCAAGTTAATACTTTTTTTTGATAGCCAAATGGCAGTCATAGACACTGAAATACATGGATAAACAAGTGAAATTCATGACAACATGACTCAAATGTTGTTGATTAACTGGTATGGTACGGGGAACGTTTTGTATCTCTCAGTCCTGGCGTTTGGTATAGAGAGAAGATGGTTTACAATACACAGAAAAGCACTTACACTCAAGAGGACAAGCTAGTCCTCATGTGGGCTAAAACTAGCATGTGAACCCTGGGTCTTCTTCTCAGTCTTCTATTGTATGTTGTAGCCTACTTAGCTTTTCAGCATTGGATGAGGACAACTCTAGTGTACCAAAGGGCTAAGCTAAAATGGAACTAGCAATTGTCCTAAAGGTACAATTGATCAACATTTCTACACCGCTAACACATTCTGTTGAATTATGGGTACCTACCGATGGTCTTGTCTTTGTTGACCTTCCAGGAGAGAGGTCCCTCGTGCACCATCTTCCTCTTGGTCAGGTCCAGGCTCTACAGACACATGCGCGCATGCACGCACATACACATGCAGATGCACACGCACACACGTCAGAACAGTCACCTTTCTACAGCTTTAAGCCAGGGTTCATGTCAATGAGAATATGTCCAATTAACTTACCTGGTTAAAGGTAAATGCATGTAAATAAATGGAGACACAAGTAGAGGAGTTGAGTCTCACCTTGAACTCTGAGATCATTGGGTTCTCACTCTGTTTGAGTGAGGAGAGGTCCAGGCGTCTCTGGTAGTCCTCTAACCTCTGTAGGGAGACGAGCACACACACTTACCAGCACTGGCTAGAAGAAACCTATTCAGTATAGAGTTACAACACTCATTTAATAGGATCTCTATGCTATTCAGTCCCTTAGCTGATATATTCTGGTAGAAAGGTGGCAGGCATGAGAGTTGCACTGTTTACAACATTTTGCATTAATAGAGTTCAGACAGGAAAGCCACGTATTCCTTTAACCATTTAGAAACAAAAATAGATGACAAAACATTTGGTCTTGGTGTTAGGCTCTGCTCCTTCAGGGGAGTTCACTGCCAGAGCCATGTGCCCATTATTACCATTACAATACAGGCAGTGAGCGAGATATATCAGTCCCCCTGATGGGGAAAAAAGCAGAACCAAACAGGTAGAGGCTGGGGTGGTGGTAGGCTAGCAGAAAACAGACAACGCATAGCAGGTGGCAGCAATAGTTACAGCAGCAGCAATAAAAGCAGCAACGAAAAGCCAATCGCATAGCTTAGCAGAGGAACTGGTCAACTTAAATAGACCTCCATATTAAGGTAGGAAGTATTTGAATCCCATTGGTGCCGTCTGAACTGGCTTCGCTTAATTTAGCATGCAAGTGTCACACAGTTTTCAATGGAAACATGGCTGCACTATGACAACTGTTGGTGTAGCTAGCTGTGTGCATGTGTTCACCAATGTTGACCATGTGTCTAGTCCCACTGGTTCTGCTCTTCTTAGTCAGTTACCTGTTTGTTCTCTGCCTCTTTCACTGTCTGGTTGACATAGTTAAGGATCTCCCTGCAGCACTCCCCGGCCCTCTTTACCTTGTCCCTCTCCTCTGTATCCTCTGTCAGGCAAAAAACACACAAACAGATTATATCAGTTTTATGGAGTGGACCAAATAAGTGCACTACAAAAACCCACGTGCACGAGAATGTGAAGGGATGATGATGATGATGACGGATTCATTTACAGCCTAACCTCTCATGGAGAGACTACATAAACATATCTGACCGAATTACACAGGATTTTAGTTCTGGGTAAACCAAGATTATTTATAGCCTAATCTTCATGCAATTTTTGACAGATTTTACAATCTCTGGTTGTAAAGGTTTGAGTAGCTAAATCTGCAGTACTACCATTGAAAAAGGCTGTACTTTCCTTTAGTTCAGTCATTTTACTAAACATTAAAAGATCATTCAGCTTGGAAATACATCCCTCTTTGATCAACCATTACAAAGAAATTCAATACCTATCTTCCAACAGATGGACACAGAAGAAGAGTGATGAAATGTATTCCAAACTATTTTCAGGCCCATGTCTCAACCTTTATTAGTTGTGTGGACAGACAGTGTGTTTTTTATAGTGGTGTCGTCTACTGTACCTGTGTACTTGGCAATGCTCTCCAGCAGTAGTGGATACTTGGTCAGCCTCTGCATCTCCACTGGAATTATATCCTTCAGCTGCAGTCTGCGACAGAGACGGTTGCTCTCAGCCTCCTATAGGACGAGAGAGACACACCTGAGTCAATACTACAGTCACTCACTCCAGAGCAAATGGTCAATCTGATGACATCACAATCACAACATGCAACACATGAACAGTAGAATATAGTATACTGTGTCGTACCTGCATAAAGGAGGTGAAGCGCTGGTCTTTCTTCTGCCGGGTCTTGATGAGTTCCAGGGCGAAGGGCTGGTTGCTGCAGAAGGTGCCCACCGCCCGCTTGATCTTCTCCTCCTCGTCATCGCTGAACTACACAAATACACACACGGACAGACACGCACAGAGGGACATGGTAACATGCGGGCACACATACACATGGGGGGACATGGACACAGAAAAGGACACAGACACACACAGCAATGTTAGCAATGGCTTTTGGATGTAATACTCCCCCTCTCCTGCAGTGACTGAAAATATGTCCCAAATGGCCCATAGGGCTCTGGTAAAAAGTAGTGCACTATAAAGGGAATGGGGTGCCATTTAGGACGCATGCTGAGTCTTCTCTTACCCAAGCTAGTAGATCGTCTCCTATCAGGTCTATTACTGACGTCTCGTTCTTCTTCCGAATGACAGTCATCTGTTCCGTTATCCACACTGTAGGGAGGAAGAGAAAAGACCAGTGATTCAATAATATGAGATAGCAAGGATGTGATCTGCTCAACATAGAAAGTCAGGGAAAAGATGACATTTCTTTGAGAAGAGGTAAATTCCAATGATTTAGGAAGTGAAAATTCTATTTAAGTGTAAATTAGCATTATCCCTGAGAGAGGAGTTTGACTGTAGCTTTGAAGAGGAAGCCCTGTGGTGAGTATAGCTAGCATTGCACAAACACAGACACACACAGAGACACACACACAGCGTACCGTGTAGCTGGACAATCTCCTCTAGGTTAGTGAAGATGTGTTTAATGTCTCCAGGAGGCAGGATGCCGTCTCGGGTTAGTTTCTGGTAGAACACATTATCCAGCACCTTCAACATCCTCAGGTGGGCTCGCTCTGTGTAGAAGAGCTCTGTGGAGACACGCACACAGTCAGACCCATATAATTAAACAGAACAAGATGGCTGCCATTGTCCGCCCATTCTAAAGCTATGCAGGTCTATGACATCAGCCACTAGTGCAGGGTTTCCCAAACTCGGTCCTCGGGACCCCAAGGGGTTGCCATTTTTGTTTTTGCCCTAGCACTACACAGCTCATTCAAATAATCAACTAACCATCAAGCTTTGATACTTTGAATCAGCTGTGTAGTGTTAGGGCAAAAATCAAAACGTGCACCCCTTGGGGTCCCGAGGACCGAACTTGGAAAACGCTGCACTAGTGATATCTCTATGGTCAGACAGTCATAAGTCAGGTGGAACCCATTGTCTTTCGACAGATGGTGCCTTTCTAACGAAACCGCAGACGTCCGTCACACTATCTGATGTAAGACAATGAGGTGGAACCAAAGGACAAACTCTAATACATACTTGCCATCTCAATAACAAATCATGTCTCAAAAGCTAAACAGCTAGCATGAAACTACTTTGAATATTCAACAAATATCTATCTTTAGCAGACTGATAGCATGAAACTACTATGAATATTCAACAACTATCTATCTGTATGATTGATCCCCAGGCAGCTGTACAGTATGTGGAGCCAAAATGGCCAACGGCCTCACCGTTGATGACTTCCTGTCTTTTGATCTCCTGTGGCGTCAGGCCCGCCAGGACCTCTCGGCTGACCAGTGCCTGCCAGTTGGGAGGGTCCTGCTCGCACTCGATCTCGTTCCCCTGGTCGTCCTCACTCGGCACATCTCCACAGCCTAACCCGTCCATCCTGACATGAAAATAACAAGTCTCTGATGATGACACCTGGATTGTGTTCATTAGGGCATGCAGTGGCTAAATGTTTTGCAATGGAAAATGAAAACGAGCGTTTCATACTGGACAAATGTTAAGGTAGTCCATCCCTGTTTCAGACCGTTTACTTCTGTTTGGTTTAATTTAACTTTTATTTATCCAGGAAGTCCAATTGAGATCAGAATACTTATTTTACAAGGGTGACATGGTGCGTAATGAACACGGCCCTGGGCCCTCTTAAACAACACTAAAGCGCAACTCTACAATTGAGATCAATGTGTGATTAATTGGGAAAGTTACCGAGTTACTAAGTGCAGATGTCAAGCCTTTAATAATGGGTAGAGAGAGGGTGATCAGTAACTCAATCAATTATATTCAAAGGTTTTGCCAAAGTTAAGTTAAAGTTTAATCACGTTAATCATGTTTAATCAATCACCATTGATTCAGTTGATTCAATTATGTGGGCAACACAAACCCTTTGAATAGCTGGTGCTACAGAACAACTGGGGAAAATCAGTTATCATTCATGCCATTCATATGACTACAGAGACAAAAAACAACCAGACCTGGGTTCAAATACTATTTGAAATAATTTCAAATTCTTTATCCGTACTTGATTGAGCTTGCCTGGCTAAAATGACCATATGGCGCTCCAGGCCGGCTACATTTCAAATAGTATTTGAACCCAGGACTGTAACAACATCAAATGAAATAGACAAAAAAAAGAATAAGAGTAGAGAAAGACTCACCTCCGGGCTGGTTTGGGCGTGCCTCCCTCTTGGGCCCTGGAGATAGAAGATCAGTCCCCGTCAACACACTTTCTGCCGTTCACCAAATCCCTCCTCTCAATCCTCCACATCTATCTGAACAGAGGTCCTAAGGCATAGGTTGGAGAACTCCCCGTCTCCAAGTAATACACCATAAGAGGACCTTTTTTTCAATGAGGTCATGAATGATCGGAGAGACCAAGAAAGGGATTCAGCAGCAGAGTGCTGTAGCAGCAGCACCAGAACAGATACGGCTCCGAGGCCTTGAGCATGACCACTGGGTATGGGCTGTGTATCCCAACAGTATGACTGTGAGACTGCAGACTTTGCGGTCGACTGGTTGTGTCGGATGAGAACGGATGAGCTTGGCAGTGGACCAACACAGCAGCAAAACATTCTGCCTTGGAAGGTTTTTCCCGGGAAAGCTTGCTCCCTCTTTGGAACAATATTTCAGTGATCATGCAATCTCGCTCAGCATAAGATTTAGGCTGCATCCCAAATGGCACCCTATTCCCTATTTAGTGCACTACTTTTGACTAGAGCCCAAAGGGAATCGGGTGCCATTTGGAATGCAGATTTAGTGTAGATTTGTGTTGACCCAGAGAACAGTCCTGACTCGGATTAGATAAGACATGGGGTGAAAGGATGGTATATATCAGAGTATCTCAACCCTTGAGCAGATTAGAAGATCCACTATGTATTGCTGAAACCATCACATTTGATTCCAGCAGACCTGCCCTCTGTATTTCTATGAAGGTGTTCCTAATGTTTTGTACACTCAATGTACATCGATTAATGTTCTCTCTTACCTTATAGTTTAGTTTTAAAATGTAGCACTTCAACGTAAAATAGGTTAATTAAGTAAATTGTCCTCAATGGCCCCGTTAACCTGAATTTAGAACGACAATGGTCACAGCCTGACTTAGGTCAACAGTCTAGTAAGGTCCACTGGACATGATTCCACACCCCCATGTCTATAGACCTGCTTCATATTTAAGTTGTATATTTACCAAAGTCTAATCAACACCTAGCTGTGTGTATTCCACTGAAGATTGCTATAACAAGAGGGACACTATCAAAAGTGTTAACACCGCAGAGTCGGCATGGGTTCGAATCCAACCCCTGACACCATGACCTTGTGTCCGCCCTCACCTGTCACTTTCACGCTCCTCCTCCTGTAATTGGTCCAGAGTGCAGGGGCTGAAGTCAAAGTGGGTGCCGGTTAGGTGGACCATCCCGTCCTGGGTGTCGCCCGAGTGGAGCCCGTCGGAGCTCAGTCTGAGCAGGGCAGAGGAGGGACTGAGTCCTGGAGAGAAGAGAACAAAATAGGAGGAGAGGTCAGGGGCTGTAAGTAAAAAGCATCTCAGAGTAGGAGTGCTGATCTACGATATCCCCACATGGACAATGTCATATTATTTTCATTGTGATCTAAAAGGCAAGACTGATCCTAAATCAGCACTCCTACTCTGAGACACTTGATACATATGGCCCCAGATGGAGGCTCACACATAAGAACAAAAATCCAAGGTTAATGGGCCAATGTCCCTCTCCAGGTGGATTAATAAAGTTCCATTCAATTCTACCAAGGCCAATGTCCTTCTCCAGGTGGATTCATGAAGTTCAATTACATTTTTGCAGGGAGAATGTCCCTCTCCATGTGAATTAATAAAGGTATATTCTACTTCACTTAAGTCCAACAGGAGGCAATATGGTCCTAAGCAATATGGCGAAGGCTCACGTAAGTTTCTTCATTCGGAAGGTCAAAAAAGATCTCCATCGAAGAGAAGTGCTTTAGTCAGCAGTTGACTTATCGTGTGGTGGAACAAGCTCAAGAATAGAGATCCGCTATAGTCTAAAAGCAGTGCAAAAATAATATCCGTACTACATACAGCAGATGATTCAAAAGAAAATAAAGAGGGGTCATTTAGACAGATCATATGCAGACAAAGACCAGACGACGTTCTGAAAATAAGGCCGCCCCCCAATTAGGAATAAACAAGAAAAAGCCAAAGAAAGCAATTATTTTCCAGAAGGCTAGGCCACTGTAAGCCAAGCTAAGCCAGTGTAACAGAGTCCTGACAACAAAAGGCCAAGGAGAAAACATGTCGGAGTGGAGGGAAGTGGATGACAGAACAAAAGCAAACAGACAACGTGGGAGAGAGAAGGTGGGGTGGTGAGGAGGAAAGAAAGCGAGGAAGCCAGCTTGGAGGGAAGACATGAAGACAGAAAGAGAGAGGGAGAGCGATCGAGAGCGAGAGAGGGAAAGAGAGAGAGAAGAGAGAATTGGTTATACAAGATGAGGTGAGTCATATATATAGCTATTTGAGCACTTGGAAAAGCACTAAAGCGCTATTATGTATGACACAATTATTTACCTTCTATCATTATTTGAGAGAAGTGAAGAGGAAAAGACAGATAGAAAGAAAGAGAATGGAGGAAAGGCATGGGGGTGGCGGAGAGACAAGGGGTCCTTACCCGAGTCGGAGTCGCGTCCCGTTGGGTCGGAGCCCTGGCTGGCTGGGGCACTGTAGGGGGGGGAGGCCATGAAGGCCAAGGGGTGGGCGACCGCGTCAGAGCCTGGATCGCTGAATTGGCTGCGGGCGCGGATGCCGCCCGCTGAGAATTCTGGGTGCTCGGAGACGCTGAGGGCGGGCTGGGAGAGCTGCTTCTGGGGTCCCCGCTGCTTGTTCATCTCCATGGCCTTACTGACTACACACACAGACACACAGATTTAAGCAAAACTAGTCAGTAGGTCTCCAAACCCAGAGCTCAGGGAGAAAGAAGGAGGAGGAGCTATCAAGAGGAAGGGGCTTGAGATGAACCACAGTGAGTGGCTTGGCTGATACAATACAGATATAGATCAACTAGATCTACTAGATTGGTCAATTGGTTGAGAATGGCAAAGTAGCAATGTTACGACAAAAGGGTCCATATCTTCACCATTTCTAAATGGACATCTGATCAAATTAAAATGAACAGTATTGAAGTACAGACGTATTGATCTCAACATGAAATAATTTAAAAATGTAAATCATCACACTGATTAACTGCAATACTTATTATACTTGTAAAGATGTTTTAGTCATGATACATAAATGTCTACCAAGGCTCTTTGAACATGTAAATGAGTGTGTGTGCAAGTCTAATATGTGTAGATCTATGGCGGGAGCAGCACAGCATAATGGGGAGCTGGCCCACACAACTCCAGACAGGCACTTCCTGCTGCGGAAGTCCACAATCTCCTTACAGCGCTGGATGTAAGATGTAATGTGTCCGAGCCTTAACACAACACCACAAGCTTCTGTCCTCAGGGCTAAACATGCCCCTGAACTACACTACCGTTCAAATGTTTGGGGTCACTTAAAAATGTCCTTGTTTTCGAAAGAAAAGCAATTTTTTTGTCCATTAAAATAACATGAAATTTATCAGAAATACAGTGTAGACATTGTTAATGTTGTAAATGGCTATTTTTATTGGCCAGTCTGAGATATGGCTTTTTCTTTGCAACTCTGCCTAGAAGGTCAGCATCCCGGAGTCACCTCTTCACTGTTGACGTTGAGACTGGTGTTTTGCGGGTACTATTTAATGAAGCTGCCAGTTGAGGACCTGTGAGGCGCCTGTTTCTCAAACTAGACACTAATGTATTTGTCCTCTTGCTCAGTTGTGCATCGGGGCCTCCCACTCCTCTTTCTATTCTGGTTAGAGCCAGTTTGCGCTGTTCTGTGAAGGGAGTAGTACACAGCGTTGTACGAGATCTTCAGTTTCTTGGCAATTTCTCGCATAGAATAGCATTCATTTCTCAGAACAAGAATAGACTGACGAGTTTCAGAAGAAAGTTATTTGTTTCTGGCCATTTTGAGCCTGTAATCGAACCCACAATTGCTGATGCTCCAGATACTCAACTAGTCTCAAGAAGGCCAGTTTTAATGCTTCTTTAATCAGCACAACAGTTTTCAGCTGTGCTAACATAATTGCAAAAGGGTTTTCTAATGATCAATTAGCCTTTTAAAATGATAAACTTGGATTAGCAAACACAACGTGCCATTGGAACACAGGACTGATAGTTGCTGATAATGGGCCTCTGTACGCCTATGTAGATATTCCCTAAAAAAATCAGCCGTTTCCAGCTACAATAGCCATTTACAACATTAACAATGTCTACACTGTATTTCTGATCAATTTCATGTTCTTTTAAATGGACAAAAAAATGGCTTTTCTTTCAAAAACAAGGACATTTCTAAGTGACCCCAAACTTTTGAACGGTAGTGTAACTTCAAATATCCACACTTGCATACTACTGGTGATGTATTGGACATGCATATTAGGTAAATGCTAGTAAGGATATTGCCAAATAGGGATGTGCGTTGTTATTTTTGTATATTAAAAAATGTGTCACTACAGAGCCTGTTACACATCTCAAACTAACCATTGCCGTTTTTTGCGTTCCACACTGGCACGATAGGAGGGAACTGTTAAGTGTACTACATCCATTTGTAGTCTTCCACACTTACTTGAAGCTGAGTCCACGCGGCTGGGCCGCCGAGGAGGGCCGAGGATGCTGGGAAAGCGAGGCTTCTTCACCTTCTCCTCCCCCTCTTTCTCAGTTTTGATGCTCTTCTGCTCCACAGAACAAAACACATACAAACTGCCCAGTCAGACAATTTAAAAAACGGGGTCACTTTCAGTAGGCAAGCGTTGTGGAACGTTGAAGATAGCCATGTCATGAATAGCGCTGCTGTGATTCCTTATTCTACATGTCAAAGAGGCATGTTTGTTTTATGCTATATTTTTTATTGGAAGTTGCACAATATTGTGCCCTACTGAATGCTACCCTGGAAAGCTGCTAACAAGTGGGCCATCATGTCCCCAAACAGTGCCACTGTGTGAAGAAACTGAATGATTTATGCTACATCAAATTAGAAGTTCCTACAAGCTGTAAAAGACCATGGTATTGTGCTCAAATACATAATTGATGCGTCTAGGTGGTTGTGTACTGTGTGTGTGTGTGTGTTGTACCTTGATCTTGGGCAGGAAGTTGATGCGGACTCGTTTGGGCTCTAGGCTACGTGGTTCCTTTACTTTCACTCCCAGGTGTTTCATATAGGTGAGGATGACATACTGCATAGTAGTGCTGCAACACAATACACTATTAATGAACTGTTTATATTACCACTAACCCATTTTTTAGGCCCAGTACAGCCCACTTTATCTTAATATCAAATCATTTAAATCATTAAATCATCATATTGATTAACTGAATTAATTATTATACTTTGAAAAATGGTTTAGTCATGATACATAAATGTCTCACAAGGCTCTTTGAAAACTGTAATTCTAATAGGACACATGTTATCAATCACTAGAAGTACATTTGGGGAAAATCTAATGAAAAGGTTAGGACACATTTCTTAAAACCTGACCTGATCAGTTTTTACTAATTGCCCTACTCTTCAATACCATTCATATTGTCAGAACAGGGTTGTGTTAATAAGGGAGCACAAAGGAAAACGTTTTGCAACTGAAAACAAAAAAAGTTGTTTCACATTGGACAAGACCAGGTAGTCCCTCCCCGTTTCGATCTGTTTTCTTCCATTTGGTGCTAATGAACACCACCCTGGCCCAACTCAAAGTGTGTAGTACCACAGATCTCCAAAAGATGGAGTCAGATGACACTATGATGTAATGGCAGACAGGTTACGTCCCAAATGGCACCAATTTGGGCAAAAGTAGTGAACGCTATAGAGAATAGGGTGCCAGTTGGGACTCGTGTTCAGTAAGCTGTGCCACTCCAACAGCTTTCTCACAGCATGGATGGAAACAATATGCTGATGGAATTCATGTATCAGAAATAAGCAGCCACAACGTGAGCCATTCCCCAAATAGACCACACACACACACACCATCTGTCCTAGCACACTGACACCTTAGTCAGAACAGAACTGCTGTTAGCCATATGGGATATGGAACACTATAATATAATCTGTGTGCTAACTACATCCGACTGAAAATAGTGGAAAGAAATGGTTTAGATATTAAACCAATTATCAGAGAACATAATTCCAATACGCGTGGACTTCCGATCAGAACCGTATTCACAAAGCGTCTGATAGTAGGGGTGGTGATCTAGGATCAGGTCGCCCCTGTCAATATAATAATAATCATAATCTTCTAAAAGGGGGAAATTATCTTAGATCAGCACTCCTACTCTGACAGGTTTTGTGAATACAGGCCCAGATAGTGTGTGTGATTCACCTCGACTTTCACAACTCATACACAACTACTGTATGACAACACACACTCACTTGAGTTCATTCAACAATCAACACACTACTTCCACAGTGAACTTTCTAAACTCTAGTATGAGAACAGACCTATCCTAGTCATATTCTGACATGTGGTTAGTTATACACTTTACATCAGGGGTCGGCAACAGGTGGCCCGCAATTATTTTTTTGGGCCCTCCAAAGTTTTAGCAAAACAGGATATCTGTTCTCAAGTATTCCCACAAATAAAAAAAGAGACATGTGATTGTATATCAATGTAATCAAGGTATGAAATAATTGTTATTTTCAAATACAATCGCTTATTGAACTTAGTTGCGGTCAATATGCAGTGTACAATTTATTACAATTATGTTCCAGCCCCCCCCCCCCCCCCGGCCATCCACTGACTTAAATGAACATTTAAAAAATCCCCCCTTACCACTTCTCCTCTTCTGTGGGCTGTGACGTCAGCCTGGAAGAAGATAAACACATAATAGGGTTAAGTGACACTCTCACACACACACACCTCCACAAAAAGCAGTGTCACTTCTACTTCAAATAGACAAATGTGTAGTCTGCTTGTGTAATAGTAATACAGTTCTATTAGCACATGGCTAATATCTCAATTAGTATTTCTGTGATTCCTCGCATCCTATCGCCTCGCCTCCTTCTCAACTGTATTGGAGGAGAAGATCCAAGGTCCCTTTCTACTGACCTTCTCCAATGGGTTTTGAGAAGGATGCGAGGAGAGAGGATGCGAAGAATCAAAGAAAGATTAGTCGACAGCCCATGAGTGGCGACTGGAGAGCTTTCTGGCATAAAATGGCTGCCGTGCATCATCCAGGTGGGTGCTACACATTGGTAGCTACCGATACATATACAGTGCATTCGGAAAGTATTCAGAACCCTTTACTTTTTCCACATTTTGTTACGTTACAGCCTTATTCTATAATTTATTAAATTATTTTTTTCCCTCATCAATCTACACACAATACCCAATACTGACAAAGCATAAAACGTTTTTTAGACATTTCTGCAAATGTTTTACACATTTAAAACTGAAATATCGCATTTATATAAGTATTCAGACCCTTTACTCAGTACTTTGTTGAAGCACCTTTGGCAGCGACTACAGCCTCGAGTCTTCTTGGGTATGACGCTACAAGCTTGGCACACCTGTATTTGGGGAGTTTCTCCCATTCTTCTCTGCAGATCCTCTCAAGCTCTGTCAGGTTGGATAGGGAGCGTCGCTGCACAGCTATTTTCAGGTCTCTCCAGAGATGTTTGATCGGGTTCAAGTCCCGGCTCTGGCTGGGCCACTCAAGGACATTCAGAGACTTGTCCCGATGCCACTCCTGCGTTATCTTGGCTGTGTGCTTAGGGTCGTTGTCCTGTTGGAAGTTGAACCTTCACCCCAGTCTGAGGTCCGGAGTGCTCTGGAGCAGGTTTTCATCAAGGATCTCTCTATACTTTGCTCCATTCATCTTTCCCTCGATCCTGACTAGTCTCCCAGTCCCTGCTGCTGAAAAACATCCCCACAGCATGATGCTGCCATCCACATGCTTCACCGTAGGGATGGTGCCAGGTTTCCTCCAGACGTGACGCTTGGCATTCAGGCCAAAGAGTTCAATCTTGGTTTCATCAGACCAGAGAATCTTGTTTCTCATGGTCTGAGAGTCCTTCTGGCAAACTCCAAGCGAGCTGTCATGTGCCTTTTACTGAGGAGTGGCTTCCGTCTGGCCACTCTACCATAAAGGCCTGATTGGTGGAATGCTGCAAAGATGGTTGTCCTTCTGGAAGGTTCTCCCATCTCCACAGAGGAACCCTGGAGCTCTGTCAGCGTGACCATCGGGTTCTTGGTCACCTCCCTGACCAAGGCCATTCTCCCGCGATTGCTCAGTTTGGCCGGGCGGCCAGCTCTAGGAAGAGTCTTGGTGGTTCCAAACTTCTTCCATTTAAGAATGATCGAGGCCACTGTGTTCTTGGGGACCTTCAATGCTGCAGAAATGTTTTGGCACCCTTCCCCAGACCTGTGCCTCGACACAATCCTGTCTCTGAGCTCTACGGACAATTCCTTCAACCTCATGGCTTGGTTTTCGCTCTGACATGCACTTTCAATTGTGGGACCTTATATAGACAGGTGTGTGCCTTTCCAAATCATGTCCAATCAATTGAATTTACCACAGGTGGACTGCAATCAAGTTGTAGAAACATCTCAAGGATGATCTATGGAAACAGGATGCACCTGAGCTCAATTTCGAATCTCATAGCAAAGGGTCTGAATACTTATGTAAATAAATCTCTTTTTTATTTTTTATACATTTGCAAAAATCTATAAAAACCTGTTTTCGCTTTGTCATTATGGGGTATTGTGTGTAGGTTGATGAGGAATTGTTTTTATATAATCCATTTTAGAATAAGGCTGTAACATAACAAAATGGGGAAAAAGGGAAGGGGTCTGAATACTTTCCGAATGCACTGTATAAAACTGTTTGAGTTTGAAAAAAGTCCTCTATATCGATGCACTTTTAAACAGATTAGCTACTAACATTACAATAGTATACATACCATAGAATTACATATATACTGAACAAAAATATAAACACATTATTTTTTCAAAATTTCTAAGATTTTACTGAGTTACAGTTCATTTAAGGAAATCAGTCAATTGAAATAAATAAATTAGGCCCTAATTTATGGATTTCACATGACTGGGAATACAGATATGCATCTGTTGATACCTTAAAGAAATGTAGGGGCGTGGATCAGAAAACCAGTCAGTATCTACCATTTGCCTCATGCAGCGCGACAACTCCTTCGCATGGAGTTGATCAGGCTGTTGATTGTGGCCTGTGAAATGTTGTCCCACTCCTCTTCAATGGCTGTGAGAAGTTGCTGGATATTGGCGGGAATTGGAACACGCTGTCGTACACTTTGATCCAGAGCATCCCAAACATGCTCAACATGTCTGGTGAGTATGCAGGCCATGGAAGAGCCGGGAAATGTTCAGCTTCCAGAAAGTGTGTACAGATCCTTGCGACATTATCATGCTGAAACATGAGGTGATGGCAGTGGATGAATGGCACGACAATGGGCCTCAGGATCTCATCACGGTATCTCTGTGCATTCAAATTGCCATCAATAAAATACAATTGTGTTCATTGTCCGTAGCTTATGCCTGCCAATACCATAACCCCACCACCACCATGGGGCACTCTGTTCACAACGTTGACATCAGCAAACCGCTTGCCAACACAACGCCATACACGTGGTCTATGGTTGTGAGGCTGGTTGGACGTACTGCCAAATTCTCTAAAAAGAAGTTGCAGGCGGCTTATGGTAGAGAAATTAATATTACATTATCTGGCAATAGCTCTGGTAGACATTCCTGCAGTCAGCATGCCAATTGCACACTCCCTCAAAACTTGAGACATCTGTGGCATTGTGTTGTGTGACAAAACCACACATTTTAGAGTAGCCTTTTATTGTCCCCAGCACAAGGTGCACCTCTGTAATGATCATGCTGTTTAATCAGCTTCTTGATATGCCATACCTGTGAGGTGGATGGATTATCTGGGCAAAGGAGAAGTGCTCACTAATAGGGATGTAAACAAATTTGTGCACAACATTTGAGATAAATAAGCTTTTTGTGACATTTTTGTGATCTTTTATTTCAGCTAATGAAACATGGGACCAACACTTTACATGTTGGGTTCATATTTTTGTTCAGTGTAGAATAATTTAGGATCTCTGTGATGCTTAGGTTTTTTATTTTAGCAAACAAAACTCTAAAAGGCCCGAAATATTCACAAGGCAATTTCAAAAGACCAAAATCTGCATGTGCATGCAAATGTCAAAACATTGGTAGCTAGTAGCTACAGTCCATGCCGAAACAGCTTAAACCTTCACACTGGCATCAAAAACACTAAACAACAGGTGAGTGCAGGTAGGAGAGACGGTCTTGGGAGAGTGACATGATATCAGAGGTCTTGAAAGGACGAGTGTATGTGTCTGTCTGTCTGTGTCTGTCATCTGTCGGTTTGTCTGTCTGCATATATCTGTCTGTCTGTGTCTGTGCATGTGTGTGTGTTAGAGAGAGATAATATCTAACTTGTATCTATCTATCTTAATCCCTGTAATCTGTCCAGTTTGGCGTGTTTGAGGCCCAGAGAGCAGAGACACGCAAGCACTCACTGACCTTTAAATAACTTCCAGAAATGGCACGTGTATGTGGTACAATTTCTTCTACACACACACAGTAACTGGAGACAACATAGTCGTTCCATGTCATTTCAGTAAGCCATGACACCTAGGGATGGGCACGGTTATTCAAATATTTGAATATCCGAACAGACGTTAGTATTGAAATAATTGCGAGAGTATTCATATTAAAAAGTATTTGTCTAAATTAAATGAAGTATGTGACATTGCTACACACAAGGATATACCATGACATTAGACATGATTAATTCAATAAAACAACAAACTTTTGCATTTAATTTAATGTTTGCCCCATAAAAATACATACCGTAGTAGCCTACATAGGCTTCACACGTTTGTTGTTATTGTCGGCCAATCAAAGTGGCTCCATGTGTAGTAAGCACCTTTTTTAGAAACATTTTTTTGTCATTTAGTAGACGCTCTTATCCAGAGCGACTTACAGGAGCAATTAGGGTTAAGTGCCTTGCTCAAGGGCACATCAACAGATTTTTCACCTAGTCGGCTCAGGGATTAGAACCAGCGACCTTTCGGTTACTGGCACTACGCTCTTAACCACTAAGCTACCTGCCGCAATGTGGGAGATTTCTAAACAATGCAACATGGAATTACAATTGCTTTTTATTTAACCCTTATTTCACCAGGTAAGTTGACTGAGAACACATTCTCATTTACAGCAACGACCTGGGGAATAGTTTCAGGGGAGAAGAGGGGGAATGAATGAGCCGATTGGAAGCTGGGGATGATTAGGTGGCCATGATGATAGGAGGGCCAGATTGGGAATTTAGACAGTACACCAGGGTTAATACCCCTACTCTTACGATAAGTGCCATGGGATCTTTAGTGACCTATAGAGAGTCAGGATACCCGTTTAACGTCCCATCTGAAAGACGGCACCCTACACAGGGCAATGTCCCCAATCACTGCCCTGGGGCATTGAGATGTTATTTTGTTTTAGACCAGAGGAAAGAGTGCCTCCTACTGTCCCTCCAACACCACTTCCAGCAGCATCTGATCTCCAATCCAGGGACTGACCAGGACCAACCCTGCTTCGACCTGACTCGTTCCATGTTGTCACTCAATCATCTTGATGATGCTTGTTTGTGTGTGTGTGTGTCTGTCTGATGAAGCAGCGCACATGATGGAGCATGTCTTACCGTAGTGAGCTAGGTTATAGGCCTACATCATGGGCTGGATAGAAGCAGTTTACCATCTTCAGAACTGGATATTAATTGCTTTATTTGCCTCATAAAATAATAGAAAAGTAAATAATATTGTTTGTTCTATCTCTCATAAAACTGTGATTGAGAATAGCCTATGCCTAGGCTTAGCCTATAGACTTTCATTCTTGTTATTTTTCAAGTTGTTATTTAACAACTTTAGGACAACACCTTTGTGAGCTAGAATATTTGGGAAATAAGTTACTGTTCATAACTTCAACTTGTCTTAAAGCTTTTATGATAGGCCAGTAGGAGAAATTAGGATAGGTTATTGCCCATTTGGAGGGATTTTCCCGGCCCACATGGATAATTTCTTCCTTAATAAGCTTAAATTTGATGAAACTTGTCATTAGATTTTTCTATAGGCTATTGGTATTGTTTGTTCTCTCTCATTATTAGTCCTCTAGCTACACTACATGGTCAAAAGTATGTAGACACCCCTTCAAATTAGTGGATTCGGCTATTTCACGCATGTTGCTGACAGGTGTATAAAAATCGAGCACACAGCCATGCAATCTCCATAGACAAACATTGGCAGTAGAACGGCCTTACTGAAGAGCTCAGTGACCTTTAACGTGGCTCCGTTATAGGATGCCACCTTTCCAACAAGTTAGTTCAGTCAAATTTCTTCCCTGCTCGAGCTGCCCCGGTCAACTGTAAGTGCTGTTATTGTGAAGTGGAAACGTCTATGAGCAACAATGGCTCAGCTGCGAAGTGGTAGGCCACACAAGCTCACAGAACGGGACCGCAGAGTGCTGAAGCGAGTAAAAATGATCTGTCCTCGGTTGCAACACTCACTACCGAGTTCCAAACTGCCTCTGGAAGCAAAGTCAGCACAAGAACTGTTCGTCGGGAGCTTCATGAAATGGGTTTCCATGGCCGAGCAGCCGCACACAAGCCTAGGATCACCATGCGCAATGCTAAGCATCAGCTGGAGTGGTGTAAAGCTCGCCGCCATTGGACTCTGGAGCAGTGGAAACGCGATCTCTGGAGTGATGAATCACGCTTCACCATCTGGCAGTCCGACGGACAAATCTGGGTTTGGCGGATGCTCGAATGCATAGGGCCAACTCAAAAGTTTGGTGGAGGAGGAATAATGGTCTGGGGGTGTTTTTCATGGTTCAAGCTAGGCCCCTTAGTTCGAGTGAAGGGAAATCTTAACGCTACAGCATACAATGACATTCTAGACGAATCTGTGCTTCCAACTTTGTGGCAACAGTTTGAGGAAGGCCCTTTCCTGTTTCAGCATGACAATGCCCTGTGCACAAAGCGAGGTCCATACAGAAATTGTTTGTCGAGATCGGTGTGGAAGAACTTGACTGACCTGCACAGAGCCCTGAGCTCAACCCCATCGAACACCTTTGGGATGAATTGGAACGCCGACTGCGAGCCAGCCCTAATCGCCCAACATCAGTGCCCGACCTCACTAATGCTCTTGTGGCTGAATGGAAGCAAGTCCCTGCAGCAATGTTCCAAGATCTAGTGGAAAGCCTTCCCAGAAGAGTGGAGGCTGTTATAGCAGCAAAGGGGGGGACTGACTCCATATTAATGCCCATGATTTTGGAATGAGATGTTCGACGAGCAGGTGTACCTTAAGTTTTTAGGCTATTTAAATAATGAGATGGAACTCTGTAACATTCATTGTTTGATATGGAGAAAGCCATGCATAAAACAATGAAGCGTAGCCTTCATTCTTATTCATAGCCAATCGAATGGAGAGAAAACGGAATACAGGCTACGTTTTGTTTAAACAGCTAGACAAAAGATAGTGGAGTGTCCATTATTGAAAAAAATAATATAGGTTTAGGCTATAGCCCAGGGATGGGCAACTTTGATAGGGCCACAAAAAAATCTGAAATCATGAGGGGTCGCAGTTGCTCGCGGGTCTGCCTACCCACATCCATACCCCCCCCCCCCCCCCACACACTGCGAGCAAAACATTTTAGTGGCCCCCCTCTTGACAGCGGAGAGAACATTTTCACGTTTTAGAGTTCATTTCGTGCCATGGGGTGTCCACATTGTTTTTGTTGCAGTTTTAAAGCAGGTTTTCTATAATTCTACACATTTTGCCATGATGGCGGAGAAGAAATTGAGCTGTTTTACTGACCAATAAGTTGTCAGTTGCCTATCCTGGCTATAGCCTAATGCATCTTTGTGCTGCTTTGGTGGAATTCTCCGCTCTGCCTGGCCTACATTCCCCTCTTGCGTTCTGTATATAACATATTTATTGAAATAGGCTATAGCAAAGAATAGGCAAATTACTGGGAATGTCATTTGTGTGCTTCCCTGCTGTGTGCTGAGAGACTCTGTTTTTTACTGCGCAGCACCAGTCAAGTTCAAATAAGCTAAACCATCGTCTGTCACATCACACTGTCGTCACCATCAACGATCGCTGTCAATCATCATCACTACCCAATGTTATCGTAATATCGCCCAACCCTAGCGTGCATTTATTGCAGGGACTTACAGAACGTCCTCTATCTTGGAGATGATGTGTTCGGCACAGGAGCGTTCTCTCTCCAGCGACACACGGTCTCTCACCCTCTCTGTGTCCAGCTTAGCCAGCTCCCCTTCTGCCAGGGTCAGACCCATACTGCGCTTCTGCCTGTAGACACACACACACACACACACACACACACACACACACACACACACACACACACACACACACACACACACACACACACACACACACACACAGATACGAACGCACACGCACGTGTATGATTAATCCATGAGGAAATACGATATCAAAGCATCATTATGTGCACATCATCATCGTCATCATCTTTGAGAAGTGTGAGTGTGTGCATGTGTGTGTTTGTGGTGTGTGTGTATGGTATGTGTGTGAGACTGCGAGTGCGTGTGTGTACGTATGAGTGTTTCTGTCTGAATGTGTGTGTGTTTGTGTGCGCGTGATGTGTGTGTGTCTGACCTGAAGTCCTCTAGGTTCCTCTGGATGTCTGGTAGTAGTGTGTCCTGTAGCAGCTGTGTGTAAGGTCTGTGCAGTTCCTCTGGGATCAGCTCAGGTCTCCGCCGCTCTGGGAACACACAACAGCATGTTTGCCAACACACACACGCATGCACGCACACACACAGCAGTCTCCCTTTTTTGGAAACGTTCTAATCAATTACACTAGACAAGACACTACTGCATTGCTAAAACTGTTGCTAAACTAATACAAGTCTTGAGAGGATGAAGTAATAACTCACCTAGTTCAGAGGCCATAGACTCAGGCACAGCTACTTTCAGATTCTGCAAGGGGAAAAAAATTGTTCTCAGTTAAAAAAGCTAAAAGAGAGACCTTAAGCAATACAACCACAACAATACCATTTCCTTTGCACCCACCGTAGCAGATAAAGAGTGTACATTTAAGATTATACTAATTATCTTAAAGGAGAGCAAAACCAAACAGACTGTCACGCTCTGACCTTAGAGATCCCTTTTATTTCTATATTTGGTTAGGTCAGGGTGTGATTTGGGTGGGCATTCTAGTTTTTCTATTTCTTTGTTGGCCGGGTATGTTTCCCAATCAAAGACAGCTGTCTATTGTTGTCTCTGATTGGGGATCATACTTAGGCAGCCTTTTTCCCACCTTAGTTTGTGGGATCTTGTTTTTGTATAGGTGCTGTGTAGCCTGCAGAACTTTACGTTAGTTTGTATTTTGTTGTTTTGTCGGTGTTCATTTAATAAAGTAATATGTTCGCCCACCACGCTGCACCATGGTCCGATCCGTCTATCAACGAGCGTGACAGAAGATCCCACCACAAACGGACCAAGCAGCGTGGCCAGGAGGAGCAGACATCCTGGACACAGGTGGGGAAGACATTCTGGACATGGGAGGAGATATTGGCCGGAAAGGGACCCAGGCAGGAAGGGATCGCTTTCCATGGGAGCAGACGGAGGCAGCGAGAGAGGATCAACGGCAACTCCGAAGGTCACGACCACGACGGAAGCCCGAGAGGCAGCCCCAAAGATTTTTTTTTGGGGGGGGCACACAGGGTGGTTGGCGGAGCCTGGTTTCAGACCAGAGCCAACTCCCCGCACTCGCTTTAAGGAGCGTGTGACCGTTCAGGCACCCTGTTATGCGGTGATACGCACTGTGTCTCCAGTGCGCATTCACAGCCCGGTGCGCTTGGTGCCCGCACTTGCCGTGCTAAAGTGAGCATCCAGCCAGGACGGGTTGTGCCGGCTCAGTGCTCCTGGTCTCCAGTATGCCTCCTCGGTCCAGTATATCCTGCGACGGTCCTACGCACTGTGTCGCCAGTGCGCATTCACAGCCCAGTGCGTCCTGTGCCCGCACCCCGCACTTGCCGGGCTAAAGGGAGCATCCAGCCAGGATGGGTTGTGCCAGCTCTACGCTCCAGACCTCCAGTGCGCCTCCACGGCCCAGTATATCCTGCGCCGGCTCTACGCACTGTGTCGCTAGTGCGCCTTCACAGCCCGGTATGACCCGTGCCTGCTCCTCGCACCAGCCCAATGGTGCGTGTCTCCAGCCCGGTACGGCCCGTGTCTGCTCCTCGCACCAGACCTCCAGCGACGGTCCTCGGCTCGAAGCCTCCAGTGATGATTCATGGCATGAAGCCTCCAGTGATGATCCACGGCACGAAGCCTCCAGTGATGATCCATGGCACGAAGCCTCCAGTGATGATCCATGGCACGAAGCCTCCATGGCACGAAGCATCCAGTGATGATCCATGGCACGAAGCCTCCAGGGATGATCCATGGCACGAAGCCTCCAGCGATGATCCATGGCACGAAGCCTCCAGCGATGATCCATGGCCCGAAGCCTCCAGTGATGATCCATGGCCCGAAGCCTCCAGTGATGGTCCATGGCCCAGAGCCTCCTGCGACGGTCGGCAGTCCAGAGTCTCTAGCGACGATCGGCAGTCCAGAGTCTCCAGCGACGGTCGGCAGTCCAGAGTCTCTAGCGACGATCGGCAGTCCAGAGTCTCCAGCGACGGTCGGCAGTCCAGAGTCTCTAGCGACGATCGGCAGTCCAGAGTCTCCAGCGACGGTCGGCAGTCCAGAGTCTCCGACGACGACCCACGGTCCGGTTCCTCCGGCGACGATCCACGGTCCGGAGCTTCTGGCGACGATCTACGGTCCGGAGTGTCAGGCGACGATCCACAGTCCGGTTCCTCTGGCAACGATCCAAGGTCCAGAGCTTCCGGCGACGATCCCCATACCAGAGTCGCCACCGAAGATGGCGGATCCGCGAGCGGAGCGGGGTCTACATCCGGGTATGGTTCCCAATCAGAGGCAGCTGTCTATCGTTGTCTCTGATTGGGGCTCATACTTTAGGCAGCCTTTTTCCCACCTTAGTTTGTGGGATCTTGTTTTTGTATAGGTGCTGTGTAGCCTGCAGAACTTTACGTTCGTTTGTATTTTGTTGTTTTGTCGGTGTTCATTTAATAAAGTAATATGTTCGCCCACCGCGCTGCACCTTGGTCCGATCCGTCTATCAACGAGCGTGACACAGACAGACTTCTTCCAGCAGAAGCACACCACTGGTGAAGGAACTTGGCCATCCAGACACACTCACAAGCGAGAGAGAGGGGTAGAAACAGGATCTGATGGATGGAGCTGAGTTTTTAAAAAAGTTAGTACTCAATGCCCCAGAGACAGACTGACCGACACACACACACGCACGCTCGCGCGCGCACACACTGGTGTCACCTATCTATTCTATACACGTGTGTAGCTGAGCCAAAATTTACTGTCTTCTTTGTGTTTGTGTGTATGTGTGTGTGCCTCTTTGCTTGCGCATGTGCATATGTGTGTGTGTGAATGCATGTGTGCGTGTACATAATGTGTGTGTACATAGTGTGTGTCTTACCGCTGCTCGGTCCATAAAGAAAGTATGGAAATCCATGAAGATCCGTCTGGTCTCTTTGGAGTTGGTCTGCTTGTACAGGTCAGCATAGAGGTAGCACAGCTGGGAGAGGACAAGAGGTGGTTAGGTCTAAACTACTGACCAAAGCATTCTGGGGTCAAACCACCAAAGTGCTAGAGAGTAACTGCTGTACCCTAATTAGAAAATATCAGCGTTCATTAGGGTCGCAAAATGTGCCCAAATTCTGGAAAACCTGGGAATTTTGGGACAGTTACTGTAATGTTGCATGCCTACAGTTCATACAGTAGCTACTGTGGATGTGTCTGTTAGGCATGCATTTTGTTTAGGTGTGTGCGTGTGTGTGTGCGTGCGTGCGTGTATGTGTGTGTGGTGGACTTACCAGAGGTGCAGGGTCAAACTGAGAGACCACGTGATGGAGGAAGGCGGCCAAGTGAGCGGGCCGAGACTTGAGCAGCTCTATACTCTGAAAACAACTACACTGACCGTTGATCTGAGAGAGAGAGGGGTAGGGATCAACAGAAAGATAAAGTTGAGTAATAGAGAGACATTGAGACAATTAGACAGAAACAGACAGGAGAGAGAGAGAGACAGAGTGAGAGAGAGAGTGAAAGAGTGACAGAGAGAGTGAGAGTAACAGCGAGAATGAGAGAGAGAGAGTGAGAGAGAGACAGAGGGAGAGAGAGAGAGACAGAGAGAGTGAGAGTGACAGAGAGAGAGTGAGAGAGAGAGGGGGGGAGAGAGAGAGAGAGAGAGTATAGAGATAGCCAGTTAGTCAATCAGACAGACAGACATTGGTCTAGCAGTAGTCCACCAGTACCTGTTCCTGCTCCGTGTCAAAGTAGTCATCCTCTGCTCCAATTATCTGGGGGTTGAGACGGGACAAGGGGCTGCCCACACTGGACTGGAAGTTACAGTCCTGACACACATGCACACACACACAGAGACAAGGTTTTAGTGCAACGATGGGACTCACATGCACACACACTCTCACTAACTGGGCTATTGTAAACAACAAATATACAGTGTGTGTGTGTCTCACCAGGTCCGGCGTGTCCTCTACGTCAGGCGAGGGGCAGGAGTTGAGGCTCTCTCGGGGGGTGGTCTTTGGGCTGTGGCAGGGGGTCTCTCTTTGGCATGGACTTTCAGGGAGGGGACTGGGAGACACCTGACATAGAGAGACCCACATACCAGTCACATAATACATTTGCCAGTCTCTGATTTTGAACGGGCATTGTGGTATTGATACCACACGTTCCAGTCCAATTTTCTCAAACAAAAGTATTGAGGAAAATAGGAATTGGAATTTCAGTTTTCTTCCTGATTTGACTGAATTGAAATGGAATACACCCCAACCCTGGTTACAGTACAATGGTATTCTGTTGAGAATGTAATTGTCATGGAGGGACGGTTTGGTGGTGATAATAACAGACAGGCTAGTTGGCCAGGTTGACTCACAGTGTTATTGGTCCAGGGCCCGTCGCTGCCGCTCTCTCCCCGCGAGGAGGGGGTCTGCTCTCCATCGGCTGCCCCAAAGCCCCCCTCCTCCACCTCACTGTCCCGGGGGGAGAGGGAGCCATCCTGAAAACACACACAATTGTCAGAGTTGTGTGTCAAACATGCCTACTATAACTGTGTGACAGCCCAGACAGTAACTGGGCTGTCCCTTTGATAGTGTGTGTAACCCTGTGATCGAGAGAGAGAGAGAGAGAGAGAGAGAGAGAGAGAGAGAGAGAGAGAGAGAGAGAGAGAGAGACCGTTAGAGAGAGACAGTGAGAGAGACATTGAGAGAGACATTGAGAGAGACATTGAGAGACAGTGAGAGAGAGAGAGAAAGAGAGAGAGAGAGAGAGAGACAGTGAGAGAGAGATACAGTGAGAGGGAGAGAGAGAGATACAGTGAGAGAGGGAGAGAGAGAGACAGTGAGAGAGAGATACAGTGAGAGGGAGAGAGAGAGAGAGAGAGCGAGAGATACAGTGAGAGAGGGCAAGAGAGGGAGAGAGAGAGAGTGTGTGTCTATGAGAGAGAATGTTTGTGTGTGCTCCTAAGCGTGATGATTAGTTGATTATTCGAATCAGCTGTGTAGTGCTATGGCAAAAAACATAACGTGCACCCCTTGGGATCCTGAGGACCGAGTTTGTGAAAGCCTGGTGTACGTGCATACGTATTTATGTGTATACCTGAGGTGTGCCTGTGGCCTTGCTGAGCTGGCTCTGCAGCAGAGGAATGTGTTTCTTGGCCTCCTGGATGTCCTTCAGTAGTTTCGCTGTGGGGTTCTTGCTGTACACCTCCTTCATAGCCTGGACATGACATAATGTGACACACAGGACAAAGCACACACGTTAGGAGAGGACACGGGAGGGAGGGTGGGAGGGAGGGAGGGAGGGAGGGAGGGAGGGAAAAAGAGAGAAGAGGAGGTGTATTCTTAGTCCTAGATTCTCAAATATAAAATATACTTTGATTCGTTTAACTTTTTTTTTTGTTTACTACATGATTCCATATGTGTTATTTCATAGTTTTGATGTCTTCACTATTATTCTACAACGTAAACATTTTTAAAAATAAAGAAAAACCCTTGAATGAGTAGGTGTGTGTCCAGTTCACATGGTCCTAGTTCTAGTTCATGGTCAGTCATAGGAGGTCAGTGTTTATTAGTGGTTACCATGGTAAAGTATCTGTTTAGTGGTATGAATGATTGGCTTCGATGGTACAGGGTCGTATTCATTAGGGCACATGGTAGCAAAACGTTTTGTAACAGAAAACTAAAACAAGCATTTCTTAATGTTCTGGTTGCCTCTCCCTGTTCAGTTCATGATCTTCCGTTTAGTGCCTGATGAACACGACACAGAGGAAGAGAAGAAATGGCTCACGAAAAACTTGAGGATGGAGGAAGAACTTGTTTATCCTTCCCATCCCTCCTTCCATCCCTCCTTCCATTCCTCCCTCCCTCTCTCCCTCCCTCCCTCCCTCACCCACCCACCACCACAGGGCCGTGTTCATTCGTCGCAAAACGGAAGAAAACGTATTGAATTCCGGGGAGATACTCAAAGTTGTCCAATAAGAAACTCATTTCACGTTATGTTGCAAAACGTCTCGTTACGGTGTGCCCTAATAAACACGACCCACAAGACTCTAGCTACACCGCTAACAGCTACACTTTAAAGTGTTGACAGCTAACCTGTTTAGCATTGAACTGGGAGGCAGGCGCTCAGTCACTCCCCGGAGAGACATAGCAGGCATCTATAGAGGCCCCACGGGGGACTTGAACACAAACACACTTAGATCCCCCTGTCAGGTTGGCATCTAATGAGAATTAATTAACTTCGCCTTCATCAATGCTTTCCAGGAAACTCAGTGAGTATTCTACGCTACACTGAATGCTGCTAGGAAATGTAGTTAATGAAAGTTAAATCAGTATGGCTGGTCTGAATGGATCGTCACTTTTCATTCATCTAGTAAACTCATATAATTCACAACGCTTCCTATCTCACTCATCAGCATAGCAGGTATTTATAGGGTACATCCAGAAGAGGACTGGCCACCCCTCAGAGCCTGGTTCCTCTCTAGGTTTCTTCCTAGGTTCCTGCCTTTCTAGGAAGTTTTTCCTAGCCACCGTGCTTCTACATCTGCACTGCTTGCTGTTTGGGGTTTTAGGCTGGGTTTCTGTATAAGCACTTTGTGACATCTGCTGATGTAAAAAGGGCTTTATAAATACATTTGATTTGATAATGTTACCTCATTAGCTTAGCGTCACGTCTCTCCTCCTCCTTTACTATTAGCAAGCGTTCACCTATTAACTTCAGCTTATGAGCATTGAACACTAAGGTAATTCTACCACAGTTGCTGATTAACCTATGGGCTCACGTGTGCTATTATCACTTTCCTTTTTTTCAATCAATGGCAATGAATCTAGGGGAGTATTTACAGTTTATTTTATTTGTATTTCACCTTTATTTAACCAGGTAAGCCAGTTGAGAACAAGTTCTCATTTACAACTGCGACCTGGCCAAGATAAAGCAAAGCAGTGCGATAAAAACAACAACACAGAGTTACATATGGGGTAAAACAAAACATAAAGTCAAAAATACCACAGAAAATCTATATACAGTGGGGGAAAAAAGTATTTAGTCAGCCACCAATTGTGCAAGTTCTCCCACTTAAAAAGATGAGAGAGGCCTGTAATTTTCATCATAGGTACACGTCAACTATGACAGACAAAATGAGAATTTTTTTCTCCAGAAAATCACATTGTAGGATTTTTAATGAATTTATTTGCAAATTATGGTGGAAAATAAGTATTTGGTCACCTACAAACAAGCAAGATTTCTGGCTCTCACAGACCTGTAACTTCTTCTTTAAGAGGCTCCTCTGTCCTCCGCTCGTTACCTGTATTAATGGCACCTGTTTGAACTTGTTATCAGTATAAAAGACACCTGTCCACAACATCAAACAGTCACACTCCAAACTCCACTATGGCCAAGACCAAAGAGCTGTCAAAGGACACCAGAAACAAAATGGTAGACCTGCACCAGGCTGGGAAGACTGAATCTGCAATAGGTAAGCAGCTTGGTTTGAAGAAATCAACTGTGGGAGCAATTATTAGGAAATGGAAGACATACAAGACCACTGATAATCTCCTTCGATCTGGGGCTCCACACAAGATCTCACCCTGTGGGGTCAAAATGATCACAAGAACGGTGAGCAAAAATCCCAGAACCACACGGGGGGACCTAGTGAATGACCTGCAGAGAGCTGGGACCAAAGTAACAAAGCCTACCATCAGTAACACACTACGCCACCAGGGACTCAAATCCTGCAGTGCCAGACGTGTCCCCCTGCTTAAGCCAGTACATGTCCAGGCCCGTCTGAAGTTTGCTAGAGTGCATTTGGATGATCCAGAAGAGGATTGGGAGAATGTCATATGGTCAGATGAAACCAAAATAGAACTTTTTGGTAAAAACTCGTCGTGTTTGGAGGACAAAGAATGCTGAGTTGCATCCAAAGAACACCATACCTACTGTGAAGCATGGGGGTGGAAACATCATGCTTTGGGGCTGTTTTTCTGCAAAGGGACCAGGACGACTGATCCGTGTAAAGGAAAGAATGAATGGGGCCATGTATCGTGAGATTTTGAGTGAAAACCTCCTTCCATCAGTAAGGGCATTGAAGATGAAACGTGGCTGGGTCTTTCAGCATGACAATGATCCCAAACACACCGCCCGGGCAACGAAGGAGTGGCTTCGTAAGAAGCATTTCAAGGTCCTGGAGTGGCCTAGCCAGTCTCCAGATCTCAACCCCATAGAAAATCTTTGGAGGGAGTTGAAAGTCCGTGTTGCCCAGCGACAGCCCCAAAACATCACTGCTCTAGAGGAGATCTGCATGGAGGAATGGGCCAAAATACCAGCAACAGTGTGTGAAAACTTTGTGAAGACTTACAGAAAACGTTTGACCTGTGTCATTGCCAACAAAGAGTATATAACAAAGTATTGAGAAACTTTTGTTATTGACCAAATACTTATTTTCCACCATAATTTGCAAATAAGATCATTAAAAATCCTACAATGTGATTTTCTGGATTTTTTTCTTCTCATTTTGTCTGTCATAGTTGACGTGTACCTATGATGCAAATTACAGGCCTCTCTCATCTTTTTAAGTGGGAGAACTTGCACAATTGGTGGCTGACTAATTAAATTTTTTCCCCACTGTATATATATATATATATACAGTGGGGAGAACAACTATTTGATAGACTGCCGATTTTTCAGGTTTTCCTACTTACAAAGCATGTAGAGGTATGTACTTTTTATCATAGGTACAATTCAACTGTGAGAGACGGAAACTAAAACAAAAATCCAGAAAGTCACATTGTATGATTTTTAAGTAATTAATTTGCATTTTATTGCATGACATAAGTATTTGATCACCTACCAACCAGTAAGAATTCCGGCTCTCACAGACCTGTTAGTTTTTCTTTAAGAAGCCCTCCTGTTCTCCACTCATTACCTGTATTAACTGCACCTGTTTGAACTCGTTACCTGTATAAAAGACACCTGTCCACACACTCAATCAAACAGACTCCAACCTCTCCACAATGGCCAAGACCAGAGAGCTGTGTAAGGACATCAGGGATACAATTGTAGACATGCACAAGGCTGGGATGGGCTACAGGACAATAGGCAAGCAGCTTGGTGAGAAGGCAACAACTGTTGGCGCAATTATTAGAAAATGGAAGAAGTTCAAGATGACGGTCAATCACCCTCGGTCTGGGGCTCCATGCAAGATCTCACCTCATGGGGCATCAGTGATCATGAGGAAGGTGAGGGATCAGCCCAGAACTATACGGCAGGACCTGGTCAATGACCTGAAGAGATCTGGGACCACAGTCTCAAAGAAAACCATTAGTAACACACTACGCCGTCAAGGATTAAAATCCTGCAGCGCACGCAAGGTCCCCCTGCTCAAGCCAGCACATGTCCAGGCCCATCTGAAGTTTGCCAATGACCATCTGGATGATCCAGAGGAGGAATGAGAGAAGGTCATGTGGTCTGATGAGACAAAAATAGAGCTTTTTGGTCTAAACTCCACTCGCCGTGTTTGGAGGAAGAAGAAGGATGAGTACAACCCCAAGAACACCATCCCAACCGTGAAGCATGGAGGTGGAAACAACAACATGCTTTTCTGCAAAGGGGACAGGACGACTGCACCGTATTGAGGGGAGGATGGATGGGGACATGTATCGCGATATCTTGGCCAACAACCTCCTTCCCTCAGTAAGAGCATTGAAGATGGGTCGTGGCTGGGTCTTCCAGCATGACAATGACCCGAAACACACAGCCAGGGCAACTAAGGAGTGGCTCCGTAAGAAGCATCTCAAGGTCCTGGAGTGGCCTAGCCAGTCTCCAGACCTGAACCCAATAGAAAATCTTTGGAGGGAGCTGAAAGTCCGTATTGCCCAGCGACAGCCCCGAAACCTGAAGGATCTGGAGAAGGTCTGTATGGAGGAGTGGGCCAAAATCCCTGCTGCAGTGTGTGCAAACCTGGTCAAGACCTACAGGAAACGTATGATCTCTGTAATTGCAAACAAAGGTTTCTGTACCAAATATTAAGTTCTGATTTTCTGATGTATCAAATACTTATGTCATGCAATAAAATGCAAATTAATTACTTAAAAATCATATAATGTGATTTTCTAGATTTTTGTTTTAGATTCCGTCTCTCACAGTTGAAGTGTACCTATGATAAAATTACAGACCTCTACATGCTTTGTAAGTAGGAAAACCTGCAAAATCGGCAGTGTATCAAATACTTGTTCTCCCCACTGTCTGTAGCCCATCCCAGCCTTGTGCAGGTCTACAATTTTATCCCTGATGTCCTTACACAGCTCTCTGGTCTTGGCCATTGTGGAGAGGTTGGAGTCTGTTTGATTGAGTGTGTGGACAGGTGTCTTTTATACAGGTAACGAGTTCAAACAGGTGCAGTTAATCCAGTAATGAGTGGAGAACAGGAGGGCTTCTTAAAGAAAAACTAACAGGTCTGTGAGAGCCGGAATTCTTACTGGTTGGTAGGTGATCAAATACTTATGTCATGCAATAAAATGCAAATTAATTACTTAAAAATCATACAATGTGTTTTTCTATGATAAAAAGTGTACCTATGATAAACATTACAGACCTTTACATGCTTTGTAAGTAGGAAAACCTGCAAAATCGGCAGTGTATCAAATACTTGTTCTCCCCACTGTATTCCCCTTTATTACTTTCCAACCCCGCCACCCTTTCCCCACGTGGAGTAAACTAGTGAACTGAGAGGCTTTGTGAATATAGCTGCATAAAAAAAAATGCATTCACTCTTTCAAATCAAAGAAGCAAAGTTTGACTGAATGACTGTCTCATCTCCTCATGTAGAAAACTTCAGAGTATGGTGACACTGTGTGTGTGTGTGCGTTTGTGTGTGTGCGTTTGTGTGTCTTGCTTGTCTTGCCTGTAAGTCCTCCTGCTCCTTGGTCAGCATCTTCTGTAAGATGTCCACCTTCTGGCTGTGAAGGGCGTTATTCTCCTTCTGAGGGACCAACCCAAAAAATAAAAAGAAGAAGAAGAAGAAGTGTGTTCGCTTGGGGACAGGACTTCACCGACATGTGCAGCAGAGGGAGAACGGCAGCTTTAGCACAGGTTTAACTGGAAATAGAGGAAACTAGTGAGAGAAAGTGAAAGAGGCAGAGTGAGTAGAGGCAGAGTGAGTGAGGGTGGATACTGAGGTGGGACGGAGGAGGGGGAGTGAAGAACGGAAGTGGAACTGTGGAAAGAGAGCGAGAGAGAGAGAGAGAGAGAGAGAGAGAGAGGAGAGCGAGGGCGAGAGGAAAAACAAAAAGAAGACAGAGAGGGGCAGATATAGAAAGTGAGAGAGACAGACAGAGAGGGGCAGATATAGAAAGTGAGAGAGACAGACAGAGGGACCGAGAGAAAAAGAGAGACATATATAAAGAGAGAGAGAGCGAGAGTGTTTCTGAAATGGCACCCCACTCCCTATAGAGTACACTACTTCTCCTATAGAGTAGTGCACTATATAGTAAATAGGATGCCATTTCAGTTGCAGACAGAGAGCCAATTGGCTGTCTGTCGTACCCAGAGGGGCAGAGGGGAGGTGATGTGGTCCTGGGGGCTGGTGGAGGAGGTGGCGCAGCGCTCCCCTGTTCCCCCCGTTGGTCCAGGAGACTGGGACGAGGAGAGGAAAGAGGACAGGTCTCCCCCCTCGCCCTCCGACAGCGAGATCTGGGCCAGTCCCGGGGGCCTCCCCAGCACTGTGAGGGCCACATAGGAGCCCGCTGACACAGAGAGACAAGAGGGGTCACAGTTACCGTAGCTTTATTACTTGTTATAAGCATGAATGAGTTTTTATGTCTTATTAAAAAAATATATATCTACATGTTATGTCTGTCTATGTAGCTAACTTTCAACTCAAACTGACTTATATATTTTCACTCACAGTGGCTAGCTTATTATATGGTCAGTATCATTATGAGATGATAATAAGATATACATGCTTATGGCACGTCTTACAATGCATTATAAGCACATATAGACTACTACCGGTTGGCTTTAAGAAAGTAAGTCTCTTGAAGAGCCTGTGATTTTTCATATCTACGAATAATTGGATATAAATTTGCCACTTGAACTTACATTTTATTAGCTTGACGACTTCTACATGGTTTGAATGTGTTACTAAGGTCCCGTTAACCTGCAACAAAAACATAAATGACACATCAACGTCATTCAAATGAAAAACAACACTTTCTATAGGAGGACTATGCGTTCTGTCTAAAACTTAGTAAAAAACGGCAAAAACAATGCAAATGGGAAGCCCCAAATCAGTTAATGTTCAACAGGAGCATGTGTACATAACAACTCTTTCCATGCCAAGAAACAACCATTTCTAAATGTTAATTCAAATCAAACATTTTATTTGTCAAATGCTTCATAGACAACAGGTGTAGACTAACAGTAAAATGCTTACTTACAGGTCCTTTTTCAACAATACAGAGTTAAAGACAATATCAAAAATAAAATAACAAATAGAAAGTGACACAATGAATAAATATACAGAGAATAACTAATAAAAATAACAAGTAAAAATAACATAGCTATATATAGGGAGTAGAAAATAACATGGCTATATACAGGGAGTACCAGTACCGAGTTGATGTGCAGGGGTATGAGGTAGTTATGTACATATAGGTAGGGGTAAAGTGACTAGGCAACAGGATAGATAATAGACAGTAGCAGCAGCGTATGTGGTGAGTTTGAAAGTGTGTGTGTGAGTGTGTATGTGGCGTCAGTATGCATGTGTGTGCATGTTATGTGTGTTTGGGCATATGTAGTATGTGTGTGTGTGTGTGTGTGTGTGTGTATATAGAGTCCAGTCTGTGTGTATAGGGTCAGTGCAAGAGAGTTGGTGCAAAAAATGGTCAATGCAGGTAGTCTGGGTAGCCATTTGATTAGCTATTTAGCAGTCTTGTTTAGAAGTCTTATGGCTTGGGGGTAGAAGCTGTTCAGGGTCCTGTTGGTTCCAGACTTGGTGCATTGGTACCGCTTGCTGTGCGGTAGCAGAGAGAATAGTCTGTGGCTTGGGTGGCTGGAGCCTTTGACAATTTTTTGGGCCTTCCTCTGACACCGCCTGGTATAGAGATCCTGGATGGCAGGGAGCTCGGCCCCAGTGATGTACTGGGCCGTATGCACTACCCTCTGTAGCGCCTTGCGGTCGGATGCCAAGCAGTTGCCATACTAGGTGGTGATGCAGCCAGTCAAGATGCTCTCGATGGTGTAGCTACAGAACTTTTTGAGGATCTGAGGGCCCATACCAAATTGTTTCAGCCTCCTGAGGGGGAGAGGCATTGTCCTGCCCTCTTCACGACTGTGTTGGTGTGTGTGGACCATGATAGGTCCTTAGTGATGTGGACATCGAGGAACTTGAAGCTCTTGACCCGCTCCACTACAGACCCGTCGATGTGAATGGGCCGTACTCGGCCCTCCGTTTCCTGTAGTCCACGATCAGCTCCTTTGTTTTATTGACGTTGAGGGAGAGGTTGTTGTCCTGGCACCACACTACAAGGTCTCGGACCTCCTCCCTATAGGCTGTCTCATCGTCGTCGGTGATCAGGCCTACCACCGTTGTGTTGCTGGCAAACTTAATGATGGTGTTTGAGTCAAGCGCGGCCACGCAGTCGTGGGTGAACAGGGAGTACAGTAGGGCACTAAGCACGTACCCCTGAGGGGCCCCTGTGTTGTGGGTCAGCAATGCGGATGTGTTATTGCCTACCCTCACCACCTGGGGGCGGCCCGTCAGGAAGTCCAGGATCCAGTTGTAGAGGGAGGTGTTCAGTCCCAGGGACCTTAGCTTAGTGGTGAGCTTCGAGGGCACTATGGTGTTGAACGCTGAGCTGTAGTCACTGAACAGCATTCTCACATAGGTGTTCCTCTTGTCCAGGTGGGAAAGGTCAATGTGTAGTGCAATAGAGATTGCGTCATCTCTGGATCTGTTGGGGTGGTATGCAAATTGGAGTGGGTCCAGGGTGTCTGGGATGATGGTGTTGATGTGAGCCATGACCAGCCTTTCAAAGCATTTCATGGCTACAGATGTGAGTAGTCATTTAGACAGGTTACCTTGGCATTCTTGGGTACAGGGACTATGGTGGTCTGCTTGAAACATGTAGGTATTACGGACTTTGTCAGGGAGAGGTTGAAAATGTCAGTGAAGACACTTGCCAGCTGGTCAGCGCATGCTCGAAGTACGTGTCCTGGTAACCTGTCTGGCCCTGCTATGAATCCTAACTTCCTAACATTTTTACATTTTTAGTCATTTAGCAGACGCTCTTATCCAGAGCGACTTACAGTTAAGTGAGTGCATACATTATTCGAACCCACAACCCTGCCGTTGCAAACGCCATGCTCTACCAACTGAGCTACATCCCTGCCGGACATTCCCTCCCCTACCCTGGACGACGCTGGGCCAATTGTGCGCCGCCCCATGGGTCTCCCAGTCGCGGCCGGCTACGACAGAGCCTGGATTCGAACCAGGATCTCTAGTGGCACAGCCTTAGACCACTGCGCCACTCGGGAGTCTGCATCAATGCATGACTAAGTGAAAATGTTACTGAAGTGAAAGTTTAGATTCACCCCTTACAGACTAACAATTAATTTCCTTCACTGACACTATGACAGCACTACAGTACCCTGCCCTTTACAATGACCCATTGGAATGCATTGCCATGTTATGGTGTAGCTCCTCAGCAGCCCAGCAGGGGGCAGAGTGGTAAAGTATGCAGGGGCCTTAACCCATGACCCATGACCTACTGCTGTAGCCTGCAGGGTTCTCTTGTCTGAGACAGAATGAAGTTTCCCCTAAACACTGATCTTGGGTCAGTTTAGCATTTTCCCCACTAAGGGGCAAGCAGCAGTTGCTAAAGACACACACGTACACATGGATTTTGTGTTGTAGATATGTGATAGTAGAGTGGTGGCCTGAGGGCACACACTTAATGTGTTGTGAAATCTGTTGTGAAATGTAATGCAATGTTCTTAATTGTATATAACTGCCATAATTTTGCTGGACCCCAGGAAGAGTAGCTGCTGCCTTGGCATCAGCTAATAGGGATCCATAAAAATACAAATACATCCATTTTTGGACTTATAAATTAATTATATGTACCCATTGATTCTTGAAGAATATAACTTATAAATGCATCATTAGTTTAACAGTCGTACCTTATCAGAATCCTAAATATACGCTTGTTTTACTCAAATGTTTGTAAAAATAAATACATAATGTAAACAAACACTATATAGCCTTAAAACATGGTTAAAACTATAAATAAATAATGTAAACAAACACTATACAGCCTCAAAACATGGTTAAAACTATAATTTTGATATCATGGATGGTCAGTCCTTGCATCCATAGCTCTGTATGAATTTGAGAGTGGTTACATTTCTCCAGCCCCATCCCTCAGCTTTTTACCGAAACAGAGGCAGGGATTAGGTTTGTTATTGTTTCAACCGCTGATTGCCCCTTTAAGGTAAGGATTGGGGGAGGGGAGACTGATCCTAGAACGGTAACTAGGGAAAACTTCACCCGGAATGGTCTCGGTCTTAGAGACAGTGACAGGATGAAGTTGCCCCCATCACACTGATCTAGGTTCAGTTTTGCATTTTGGTTCAAATGCATGAGCTAAGATATTGGGAAGATAAACTGATCCTAGATCTGAGGCTAAGGGTAATCTCGGAGATGTGGGGGGAGACGTGTTAGAAAACGTAATACACGACTAGCGAAGTCTCCACCCTTCCAAACGGAAACTCTCAGCCAGTATCGGGCAAGTCTATGGGCCAAATGTCCCCTTCCATTCCAAAATTCGAAAGATGCGAGCACCTGCAAAATCGTGATTTGTCCAAATGATCAGAGATTAAAAATCTGGGTACCGAAACAAAGTTCATCGTTAGTCGTCCCATCCGACAGTCTGTTGACAGATCAGATCTGGGTTCAAATACATGTATATTTGAGAATCTGGTATTTAAAATAAATGTTTCTGTGTATTTGAGTATTTTCAAATACACAGCCCAAAACAAGTCAATCAAATAAAATAAAATGTTATTGGCCACATGCGCCGAATACAACAGGTGCAGACATTACAGTGAAATGCTTACTTACAGCCCTTAACCAACAGTGCATTTATTTTTAATAAAAAAGTAAAATAAAACAACAGTAGGGAGGCTATATATACAGGGGGGTACCGGTGCAGAGTCAATGTGCAGGGGCACCGGCTAGTTGAAGTAATATGTACATGTGGGTAGAGTTAAAGTGACTATGCATAAATAGCAGCAGCGTAAAAATATGGGGTGGGGGGTGGGGGCAGTGCAAAAAGTCCGGGTAGCCATGATTAGCTGTTCAGGAGTCTTATTGCTTGGGGGTAGAAGCTGTTGAGAAGTATTTTGGACCTAGACTTGGCACTCCGGTACCGCTTGCCGTGCGGTAGCAGAGAGAACAGTCTATGACTAGGGTGGCTGGAGTCTTTGACAATTTTGAGGGCCTTCCTCTGACACCGCCTGGTATAGAGGTCCTGGATGGCAGGAAGCTTGGCCCCAGTGATGTACTGGGCCGTACGCACTACCCTCTGTAGTGCCTTGCGGTCGGAGGCCAAGCAGTTGCCATACCAGGCGGTGATGCAACCAGTCAGGATGCTCTCGATGGTGCAGCTGTATAATTTTTTGAGGATCTGAGGACCCATGCCAAATCTTTTCAGTCTCCTGAGGGGGAATAGGCTTTGTCGTGCCCTCTTCACGACTGTCTTGGTGTGTTTGGACCATGATAGTTCGTTGGTGATGTGGACACCAAGGAACTTGAAGCTCTCAACCTGTTCCACTACAGCCCCGTCGATGAGAATGGGGGAGTGCTCAGTCCTCTTTTTTTTCCTGTAGTCCACAATCATCTCCTTTGTCTTGGTCACGTTGAGGGAGAGGTTGTTATCCTGGCACCACATGGCCAGGTCTCTGACCTCCTCCCTATAGGCTGTCTCATCATTGTCGGTGATCAGGCCTACACTGTTGTGTCGTCAGCAAACTTAATGATGGTGTTGGAGTCGTGCCTGGCCATGCAGTCATGGGTGAACAGGGAGTACAGAAGGGGACTGAGCACGCACCCCTGAGGGGCCCCCGTGTTGAGGATCAGTGTGGCAGATGTGTTGTTACCTACCCTTACCACCTGGGGGTGGCCTGTCAGGAAGTCCAGGATCCAGTTGCAGAGGGAGGTGTTTAGTCCCAGGATCCTTAGCTTAGTGATGAGCTTTGAGGGCACTATGGTGTTGAATGCTGAGCTGTAGTCAATGAATAGCATTCTCACGTAGGTGTTCCTCTTGTCCAGGTGGGAAAGGGCAGAGTGGAGTGCAATAGAGATTGCATCATCTGTGGATCTGTTGGGGCGGTATGCTTGTAGTCTGTAATAGTTTTCAAGCCCTGCCACATCCGACGAGCGTGAGAGCCGGTGTAGTACGATTCAATCTTAGTCCTGTATTGACTCTTTGCCTGTTTGATGGTTCGTCGGAGGGCATAGCAGGATTTCTTATAAGCGTCCGGGTTAGAGTCCCGCTCCTTGAAAGCAGCAGCTCTACCCTTTAGCTCAGTGCGGATGTTTCCTGTAATCCATGGCTTCTGGTTGGGGTATGTACGTACGGTCACTGTGGGGACGACATCATCGATGCACTTATTGATGAAGCTAGTGACTGATGTGGTGTACTCCTCAATGCTATCTGAAGAATCCCGGAACATGTTCCAGTCTGTGCTAGCAAAACAGTCCTGTAGCTTAGCATCTGCGTCATCTGACCACTTTTTTATTAACCGAGTCACTGGTGCTTCGTGCTTTAGTTTTTGCTTATAAGCAGGAATCAGGAGGATAGAGTTATGGTCAGATTTGCCAAATGGAGGGCGAGGGAGAGCTTTGTATGTGTGTCTGTGTGTGGAGTAAAGGTGGTCTAGAGTTTTTTTTCCTCTGGTTGCACATTTAACATGCTGGTAGAAATGAGGTAGAACGGATTTAAGTTTCCCTGCATTAAAGTCCCCGGCCACTAGGAGCGCTGCATCTGGATGAGCGTTTTCCTGTTCACTTATGGCCTTATACAGCTCATTCAGTGCAATCTTAATGCCAGCATTGGTTTGTGGTGGTAAATAGACAGCTATGAAAAATATAGATGAAAACTCTCTGGGTAAATAGTGTGGTCTACAGCTTATCATAAGATACTCTACCTCAGGCGAGCAAAACCTCGAGACTTCCTTAGTATTTGATTTTGTGCACCAGCTGTTGTTTACAAATATACACAGACCGCCACCCCTTGTCTTACCGGAGTCAGCCGTTCTATCCTGTCGATGTAGCATATAGCCGCTAGCTGTATGTTGTCCATGTCGTCGTTCAGCCACGACTCGGTGAAACATAAGATATTACAGTTTTTTATGTCCCGTTGGTAGGATAACCGTAATCTTAGGTCATCCAATTTATTCTCAAATGATTGAAGATTGGCTAATAGGATTGATGGGAGAGGCAGTTTACTCGCTCGCCGTCGGATCCTTACAAGGCACCCCGACCTACGTCCACGATATCTCAGTCTCTTTCTCATGCGAATGACGGGGATTTGGGCCTTGTCGGGTGTCTGTAGGATATCCTTCGCGGCCGCCTTGTTGAAGAAAAAACTTCGTCCAATACGAGGTGAGTAATCGCTGTCCTGATATCCAGAAGCTCTTTTTGGTTATAAGAGACGATGGCAGAAACATTATGTACAGAATAAATGACAAATAAAACGGAAGAACACACATAATAGTACAATTGGTTAGAGGGCTGTAAAACGGCAGCCATCTTCTCCGGCGCCATTCAATAAGTTATTTGTAAAAACCAAATAGTCTACCAAATTGTATATGAGAGTATTTTCAAATACTTATTTCAAATACTATTTTCAAATACCTGGGTTAAATGCATGAGCGTGTATTTTTTAGTCAGTGTATATGAGTATTTTCAAATACTTTCCAAGTGTTTTTCCAAATACATTACAAATATTCAACTACATTTACATTTAAGTCATTTAGCAGACGCTCTTATCTAGAGCGACTTACAGTTAGTGAGTGCATAATTATTTTTTTTTATACTGGCCCCCCGTGGGAAACGAACCCACAACCCTGGCGTTGCAAGCGCCACGCTCTACCAACTACTTATCTTTTCAAATAAAATATATCTGAATACTTACTTCGAATGTACTGTATGTGAAAGCAATTTAGATATTTGACATAGTATTTGAACCCAGGTCTGCGACAGATGCTACTACCATTTATGTTACATGCATCTGTCCATGAGAAATTAGGCTATGGGTAATATCTAGGAAGAGTGTAATGGGCCCCAGAGAGGAAATGAGCCTCACCTTGATGATCCTATCACCTGTCTGGACGCCCGCTCGCATGGCAGCGCCATCTGCAGAAGAGGACAGGACAGGCAAAGGGCATGAGAATGATAAAAGGTTAGAGATATTACTGTATCCGACTGTATTATGACACAACCAGAGATAAATCCAATATATTGTATCTTTGCCTTGGGTATCAAGACTGTATGATGTAGAATAGATATTTACATTGTGCTATGCTCCCAATTGAACATATTGCTCTAATGTCAGAGGTTTACACCCCCTAGATATGCAATTCAATTTCCTTGACCCATAATATACATACATTTTCATATGGGTGGCCCCAGTGGGAATCGACCCAGTGACCCTGGTGTTGCAAGCATCATGCTTTACCAATTAAGCCACACCGGTCCTCATCATAATTGACTTGACTCAAGCACAGGAAGGTGTATATTAGAATAGGATGGAAAAGGCCTTACCCTCTTTGACCAACTGCACAAATACAGGGTTGTCTCCGCTCACCGTCAACCCGAAACCATTCTCATCTTTCTGGATGATCACACAACGCTGGACAAGCCCTACAGACACACAGACACACAGACAGACAGACAGACAGACAGACAGACAGACAGACAGACAGACAGACAGACAGACAGACAGACAGACAGACAGACAGAAGATGAATAAATATTGTGTTACACACCATCACACACACAAACAACACACACACACACACTCAGGTTGGCACAGTGAGAGGAACCAAGGACGGTGAGGTGGGACAGGGTGTGTGGTGTGCGTGACGGGGCACAATACACAATGTAGGTGTCAAACTGTTTTCCTATATACAGTGAGGGAAAAAAGTATTTGATCCCCTGTTGATTTTGTACGTTTGCCCACTGACAAAGAAATGATCATTCTATAATTTTAATGATAGGTTTATTTGAACAGTGAGAGACAGAATAACAACAAAAAAGTCCAAAAATAAATGCATGTAAAAAATTTTATTAATTGATTTGCATTTTAATGAGGGAAATAAGTATTTGACCCCCTCTCAATCAGAAAGATTTCTGGCTCCCAGGTGTCTTTTATACAGGTAACAAACTGAGATTAGGAGCACACTCTTAAAGGGAGTGCTCCTAATCTCAGTTTGTTACCTGTATAAAAGACACCTGTCCACAGAAGCAATCAAACAATCAGATTCCAAACTCTCCACCATGGCCAAGACCAAAGAGCTCTCCAAGGATGTCAGGGACAAGATTGTAGACCTACACAAGGCTGGAATGGGCTACAAGACCATCACCAAGCAGCTTGGTGAGAAGGTGACAACAGTTGGTGCGATTATTCACAAATGGAAGAAACACAAAAAAACTGTCAATCTCCCTCGGCCTGGGGCTTCGATGCAAGATCTCACCTTGTGGAGTTGCAATGATCATGAGAACAGTGAGGAATCAGCCCAGAACTACACGGGAGGATCTTGTCAATGATCTCAAGGCAGCTGGGACCATAGTCACCAAGAAAACAATTGGTAACACACTACGCCGTGAAGGACTGAAATCCTGCAGCGCCCGCAAGGTCCCCCTGCTCAACAAAGCACATATACAGGGCCGTCTGAAGTTTGCCAATGAACACCTGAATGATTCAGAGGAGAACTGGGTGAAAGTGTTGTGGTCAGATGAGACCAAAATCGAGCTCTTTGGCATCAACTCAACTCGCCGTGTTTGGAGGAGGAGGAATGCTGCCTATGACCCCAAGAACACCATCCCCACCGTCAAACATGGAGGTGGAAACATTATGCTTTGGGGGTGTTTTTCTGCTAAGGGGACAGGACAACTTCACCGCATCAAAGGGACGATGGACGGGGCCATGTACCGTCAAATCTTGGTTGAGAACCTCCTTCCCTCAGCCAGGGCATTGAAAATGGATCGTGGGTGGGTATTCCAGCATGACAATGACCAAAAACAAAGGCCAAGGCAACAAAGGAGTGGCTCAAGAAGAAGCACATTAAGGTCCTGGAGTGGCCTAGCCAGTCTCCAGACCATAATCCCATAGAAAATCTGTGGAGGGAGCTGAAGGTTCGAGTTGCCAAACGTCAGCCTCGAAACCTTAATGACTTGGAGAAGATCTGCGAAGAGGAGTGGGACAAAATCCCTCCTGAGATGTGTGCAAACCTGGTGGCCAACTACAAGAAATGTCTGACCTCTGTGATTGCCAACAAGGGTTTTGCCACCAAGTACTAAGTCATGTTTTGCAGAGGGGTCAAATACTTATTTACCTCATTAAAATGCAAATCAATTTATAACATTTTTGACATGCGTTTTTCTGGATTTTTTTGTTGTTATTCTGTCTCTCACTGTTGAAATAAACCTACCATTAAAATTATAGACTGATCATGTCTTTGTCAGCGGGCAAACGTACAAAATCAGCAGGGGATCAAATACTTTTCCCCCTCACTGTACAGGTATAAGGCAATGTGTCTGCTTGGTGACGGAGGCACTCACTCAATAGCTCAGGTCTGTATTTGTGGCTAGTCATTGTTATAACATGATGATGATGAGGCCTGAGGAAAATGGCTTTTGAAGCTTCTATTGAGTGGCAGCAATGAATGATTGATACCTCAGGGTATTACCTGGTTTCAAATACTTAATAATACGCCCCATTTGTGAAAGTACTTCACTCTCTTCTTCAAAAGCCTTTAATACACGGACGCATTTAGAAAAGTGCTTATTGTTGTTAAATTGCATTCAGATATTTGTTCCCTGAACTTGAAAGCAGTCTATGCACAATGAGAGACTAACAAAACTATAGTGTGGATTGCAGTCACTCCTCGTCCATAGACTGCTTTCAAGATAAGGAAACAAATATCAAAATAATTTTCCTCAACTATCCCTTTAATATCAGTACAATGCCTAGATAGGCTGTTATAAATAATGGCATAACACATGACCTCTAGGAACCCAGTTTGATGCTCACATAAAAACATGTTGTTTGTGGAACATTGATATCAGGACACAAGTGGTAACAGCACCCTCTGTCATTTTTGTTTGAACACAGATTGTGAGTCGTTTGACTTGCAAATAGAGAGACACACGGCATCACACTCGTGGATTGACATTGACTCATCACACCAGTTCACTTGCAGGTGAGTTTCACAATAGTTCATCCAAACCCATATCATCATTATAAACAGTGAGTGCAAACAAAGCCAAACGAAAAAGCAGATTAAACCAGTAGTCCAGGTTGCAGGTAGCCTCTCATAGGAATCATCCTGATCTCGCGAGCTTACATTCTATCGCTATCTGTGAAGCGAGACAGAATGTAAGCTCTTGAGATCAGGATGGTTCGTACGAGGCTAGGTTGCAGGAGGTACAGTACGAAATTGGACTAGGAGACTGCAATCATTGCTTTGGTTTTGTTAAACTAGCCACTGACACTAACGGATATTGTACAGTGTTTTTCTCTACATAGAAAAGTAATGGGCAGGATGCGTAAGTGTTTTTTTGGGACGCCTTTTTGGGGGAAATAATTTTCAGGATGGAAAAACGTTTTTAGTGTAAACTTAAATAAGATCATCTTTGAGAACTAACAATCACCAAATTAAAAGCAAAACAGTCAGGGAGAATAAAAAAACATGTCATGACATGGGGCCCCCATTGATTTTGTTATAATGTTTGAGTCACACAGATAGCATAAGAACACAGCATAAGAACACAGCATAAGCCATAGCAAAATGTGTAGAATTGTAGGAAATTAGCTTTAAAACAGCAACATTTTGTCTCTGCGACCAAGAGGAGGGCCTAAAAAAATAATGTTGTCGATGACATCGCCATTGGCCAGGCCCACTGCCACACCCCAGCCACGCCCACCACCTAAGCCCCATTTTGATCCAGAACAAATCCTGCTGTTCTAGCAATTTTATAGCCAAGAACCAAAGTAAGTTCAACGTCCCCAAAGTCACTTCAAAGTTATTGGGCTACACAATCCCTTTAAGAGATGATCTGGGCATGGAATTGAAAGCATGCTAACTGGAGGACATTGACTTACATTGTTTTTTGGTTAGAAAATTATAACATTAAAGGTTGGTGGCAGTAGCTAGCTTAACAACACCAAAGCATGGATTTCAGTCTGTCCAACGTTGAAAATGTAAATAAATAGGCAATTCGGCTGAACTGCCCCTTTACAATTTCAGACTGAAGGTTTTTCAGGCCTAAATCTGAGTCTTCATTCATTGAGTTAAACAGGTGCATCTTTCTCCCCTCAAACCCTCCTGGTAGCGTTCCCTCATCAACCCAAACATCTCCCTTCTCGCTGCTCTGGCCAGGTAACACTAAAACATCCAGACAATGTTTCTCAACACTGCGGGAAAGTTCACTCCCAGGGCAATGAAAGGCAATGGTGAGTTCAATAAAAATAAAATAAAAGGAGAACGGAGGGGTGTAGGACTCGTGTTAGGACGTGAGTGAACAACAGGGGGACACATGGCAGAAGAACTGGGGACGTCGCAACACAAAACAGCCACCACACACTAACTGGGTGCATCTCAATAGTCTAAAATGGCCACTTCCACTTGCCTCCCTTTGTTTGCACTGAACTTAACAGACGGGATAGGTGATATTATGTCCAGTTCCATCAGATCAGATGAAGGAAAGGAGACAAGAAAAAGATTACACTTACAGACTATTGAGACACAGCCGTTTAGACCATCTTACCACAGGGTTCGGGGGGGATTCCCTCGGCTACTACACAGCCAGATCGCTGCACAGGCACGTCTAGTACAGCACGACAGACAGTACACATGGCAACGTAACAACACAACCAGGACACACAGAGGAGAAAACAGAGCAAAAATCTAAAACATTGGGAGGAGGAGAAAATAAACACGGCAGAAAGAAAGAGTGAAAGTATTCTATACCAGTGTGACTATGCACCTTACCTTACAGTGAGCAGTCAGTCTGAATTGTGTTGCAATTAGTAATTGTTTTATTTAATGTATGTATGTATGTGTTTTGAGAATGACACAAATACTAATTTTCACAAAGTCTGCTGTCTCAGTTTTGATTATGGCAATTTGCATATACTCCAGAATGTCATGAAGAGTGATCAGATGAATTGCAATTAATTGCAAAGTCCCTCTTTGCCATGAAAATGAACTTAATCCCAAAAAAGTATTTCCACTGCATTTCAGCCCTACCACAAAAAGAACAGCTGCCATCACGTCAGCGATTCTGTTGACGAGGACAAGGCTGGAGATCACTCTGTCATGCTGATTGAGTTAGAATAACAGACTGGAAGCTTTAAAAGGAGGGTGGTGCTTGAAATCATTGTTCTTCCTCTGTTAACCATGGTTATCTGCAAGGAAACACGTGCCGTCATCATTGCTTTGCACAAAAAGGGCTTCACAGGCAAGGATATTGCTGCTAGTAAGATTGCACCTAAATCAACCATTTATCGGATCATCAATAACTTCAAGGAGAGAGGTTCAATTGTTGTGAAGAAGGCGTCAGGGCGCCCAAGAAAGTCCAGCAAGTGTCAGGGCCGTCTCCTAAAGTTGATTCAGCTGCGGGATCGGGGCACCACCAGTGCAGAGCTTGCTCAGGAATGGCAGCAGGCAGGTGTGAGTGCATCTGCACGCACAGTGAGGCGAAAACCTTTGGAGGATGGCCTGGTGTCAAGAATGGCAGCAAAGAAGCGACTTCTCTCCAGTAAAAACATCAGGGACAGACTGATATTCTGCAAAAGGTACAGGGATTGGACTGCTGAGGACTGGGGTAAAGTCATTTTCTCTGATGAATCCCCTTTCCAATTGTTTGGGGCATCCGGAAAACACCTTGTCCGGAGAAGACAAGGTGAGCGCTACCATCAGTCCTGTGTCATGCCAACAGTAAAGCATCCTGAGACCATTCATGTGTGGGGTTGCTTCTCAGCCAAGGGAGTGGGCTCACTCACAATTTTGCCTAAGAACACAGCCATGAATAAAGAATGGTACCAACGCATCCTCTGAGAGCAACTTCTCCTAACCATCCAAGAACAGTTTGGTGACGACCAATGCCTTTTCCAGCATGATGGAGCACCTTGCCATAAGGCAAAAGTGATAACTAAGTGGCTCGAGGGAACAAAACATTAACAACATATCATGGACCAGCACAGGTTGAGCTATTGAATGATAGGTTAAGAAACCCTGAGATATACACTATATGACCAGAAGTATGTGGACACCTGTTCGTCGAACATCTCATTCCAAAATCATGGACATTAATATGGAGTTGGTCCCCTCTTTGCTGCAATAACAGCCTCCACTCTTCTGGGAAGGCTTTCCACTAGATGTTGGAACAGTGCATTCGGATAGTATTCAGACCCCTTCACTTTTTCCACATTTTGTTACGTTACAGCCTTATTCAAAAAATGGATAAAATTGTTTTTTCCCCTCATCAATTTACACACAATACCTCATAATGACAAAGCAAAAATAGCTTCGTAGAAATGTTTGCAAATGTATAAAATAAAAAGAAATGAAATAATACATTTACATAAGTATTCAGACACTTTCCTCAATACTTTGTTGAAGCACCTTTGGCAGCGATTACAGCCTTGAGTCTTCTTGGGTATGACGCTACAAGCTTGGCACACCTGTATTTGGGGAGTTTCTCCCATTCTTCTCTGCAGATCCTCTCAAGCTCTGTCAGGTTGGATAGGGAGCGTCGCTGCACAGCTATTTTCAGGTCTCTCCAGAGATGTTCGATGGGGTTCAAGTCCGGGCTCTGGCTGGGCCACTCAAGGACATTCAGAGACTTCTCTCGAAGCCACTCCTGCGTTGTCTTGGCTGTGTGCTTGGGGTCGTTGTCCTGTAGGAAGGTGAACTGTCACCCCAGTCTGAGGTCCTGAGTGCTCTGGAGCAGGTTTTCATCAAGGATCTCTCTGTACTTTGCTCCATTCATCTTCCCTCGATCCTGACTAGTCTCCCAGTCCCTGCTGCTGAAAAACATCCCCACAGCATGATGCTGCAATCACCATGCTTCACCGTAGGGATGGTGTCAGGTTTCCTCCAGACGTGATGCTTGGCATTCAGGCCAAAGAGTTTAATCTTGGTTTCATCAGACCAGAGGATCTTGTTTCTCATGGTCTGAGAGTCCTTTAGGTGCCTTTTGGCAAGCGGGCTGTCATGTGCCTTTTACTGAGGAGTGGCTTCCGTCTGGCCACCCTACCATAAAGGCCTGATTGGTGGAGTGCTGCAGAGATGGATGTCCTTCTGGAAGGTTCTCCCATCTCCACAGAGGAACGCTGGAGCTCTGTCAGTGTGACCATCAGGTTCTTCAAGGCCCTTCTCCCCCAATTGCTCAGTTTGGCCGGGCGGCCAACTCTAGGAAGAGTCTTGGTGGTTCCAACCTTCTTCCATTTAAGAATGATCGAGGCCACTGTGTTCTTGGGAACCTTCAACACTGCAGAAATGTTTTGGTACCCTTCCCCAGAACTGTGCCTCGACACAATCCTGTCTCGGATCTCTACAGACAATACCTTCGACCTCATGGCTTGGTTTTTGCTCTGACATGCACTGTCAACTGTGGGACCTTATATAGACAGGTGTGTGCCTTTCCAAATCATGTCCAATCAATTTAATTTACCACAGGTGGACTGCAATCAAGTTGTAGAAACATCTCAAGGATGATCAATGGAAACAGGATGCACCTGAGCTCAATTTCGAGTCTCATAGCAAAGGGTCTGAATACTTATGTAAAGAAGGTATTTGTTTTTTATTTTTTGTATACATTTGCTAACATTTCTAAAAACCTGTTTTCACTTAGTCATTATGAGGTATTTTGTGTGGTTTGATGAGGAAAATCCATTTTAGAATAAGGCTGTAACGTAACAAAATGTAGAAAAAGTCAATAGGTCTGAATACTTTCCGAATGCACTGTACCTCCTCTCTATAGGCTGACTCGTCATTGTTGGTTATCAGGCCTACAACTAGGGCCTAAAAATCATATCGCGACTTTTCAAACTTATGGCCAATTCACAATAAATATATTGATAAAAAACAAAAAAAGTTAAATAACCTTTGTTGTGCAATTAAAGGTCAATACACTGCATTTCAAACAGTCAGGAATAATATATTGAATTCAAAACTTAAAAAATTATACCTAGGCTAAATATAAGCCTTCCACAATCATAAGACCCACTAATAATTTCATTATTTTATCTAAATAGTTTAACCTGCTATTTTGCAATAGTTACTGATGTGGGTCTTTCAAGTCGGTCTATGAAAATGCCCTTTTTGTTAAAAATGTAACTAGAACCATGCACAATGCAGTGCACATCCACTAATAATGACCAACGTCTGGTAGCAGGCATTACAGAATATTAACACAGGTTTTGAAATATTTGTATTCTGTAAAGGCTTCCTTCTTTTCACTCTGTCAATTAAATTAGTATTGTGGAGTAACTACAATGTTGTTGATCCATCCTCAGTTATCGCCTATCACAGCCATTAAACTCTGTAACTGTTTTAAAGTCACCATTGGCCTCATGGTGAAATCCCTGAGCGGTTTCCTTCCTCTCCGGCAACTGAATCAGGAAGGACGCCTGTATCTGTGTATGCTCATTGCACATTTATAAAACACAGACTAGACCGCAAGCACCCAACAGTATGTGGCTAAAATGGGAGGGATTTTGGTGCTGTGCCTGTCTGTAGAGCAGACTACCTCATCACATGACTAGGGCTCAAAGCGCACTATCAACTTGTGTGTGTGTGTGTTTCATCCTCAGACTCCAGCAGCCATGACGTGTGTGCAAATATTATAGTGACTGTGTGTGTTTGTCTGAATGTGTGTATGTATGTGTGTGTGTGCATCTGAGTGTGTGTGTGTGTGTGTTTAATTCTGCTGCCGCTCCTGTTTCCCCAGCCTAACAGAAGATAACCAGTCTGGTGCTGGATGTTTCTCTGGCTGTCAGCTTGGGAGCCACGGTGCTCCCATTTGACCCCCCACCCCAGACCAAATATTAGCCCCTAGTCTCCAGAGTGGAGCTTTAATAACAGGGTACTATTCATTAGGCACCAACTGAAAAAAAAGAGGGAGGGACTACCTGAACTTGGGCAATAAGAAACTATTGTTTTCATTGCAAAACATTTTCCGTTCTCAGGGTCATATACATTAGTGCACACCGTATCAAAACGTTTTGCAACGGAAAACAAAAACTAACGTTTCTTATTGGACACATCCAGGTAGTCCCACCCTGCTTCAGTTTGTTTTCTTCCGTTTGGTGTCTAGTAGTGAATACGACCCTGGTATTAAAGCTCTACAGCTCCCACCTTGGCTATAGCATGTCACCGCAGCACTTATCACATCGACACACTGCATAATTTACGTTCAATTATCTAATGTGAGTGAGTGAGTGAAGTGCTATCTACCACAGGATCAATGACAAGTTTACAGTCTGAAAGGGTCTAATAACAGTGATTGGCTTGAGCTTATATCAGACAGACAGTATACAGTGAAATAGTTTCTTTTAATTTTGAAACAACCCCAATATGCATTAAGGGTTGCTATGAAGTTGGATTCACCACTAAGATAACTATTTCCACTGCATAAGGAGCTGTTCAATTACAATTTCCATATAATTTAGTTTATTTGGTCAGCAGCTAATATTGTGTCAAATGATTATTACAGTTATCACCAGTAACTGACTGGCAGTAATACACTGCACCAACCAAGTGGAAAATTAGATTAGATTAGACATTGAAATGGAGTGAGGTGTGTATTATATTTTGTGCTTGCGCAGTTTTATGTGTTTGTTCTATGAGTGTATGTTGCAAGTGTGCGCAAGTCCTGTGTTCTGTTTGTTTGTGTGTGCAAGTCCTGTGTTCTGTTTGTGTGTGTGTGTGTGTGTGTGTGTGTGTGTGTGTGTGTGTGTGTGTGTGTGTGTGTGTGTGTGCGCGTGCAGGCACACTTACCTGTAGGGTCAAACTCATGCGCAGGTGGGACTGTGTTTTTGTCACTCTTGGGTTTCTTGTCTGGGGGGTGGTCCTTGCTGAGAATGCTAGGGGTCCTGGGAACACACAAACACAGATTGTATGGTGAGAAACACACACACACAGGACACCAGATGTCACATGTCTGTGCAGGCTTTTAACCAGGCTTTTACATTTCAATATTGGTGCAAAATGTATACTTAAAATGTCACTCTATTCGTGGAACGACCCCTTTATATTACACTTTCACGTAATATTATCTGCTACAATACTCTCTCAGACATACTGTATGTTAGACACCTGGGACTTACAGACACTTTATCTATTTTATCAGATGAACTAGAGAGCCAAATCCCTATGGTTTAGGAAAAAGTCTGCACTGTCAGATTCTAGATACATGAGGTGTCATCTTAACATGCTTAACAGAGTGTCAGGCACGGTATGTGGTCCAAAAGCCTAATAAAATCGGGCTAAATCCACTCAAATACAGGGCTGCGTCTGAAATGAAACCGTATTCCTTATGTAATACACTACTTTTAACCAGGGCCAGGTCAAAAATAGTACACTACATAGGGAATAGGGTTCCATTTCGGATGCATACCAGGTGTCCCAACTCTATTTAGTGGTAAGAAATTCTAGTTATATGGTGATGTTCGTCTGGATGTCATGATTGTAGTCCTTTGTGATTGACAATGTGGACAAAGATTTACGAAGCAAGGAAAAAACTCTGACCTGGTTGCTTTTTTGGAAAACCTGCGAAAACAAAAGACGAGAAAGGATTAGAATACTATTATACTATTTGTCATTGGTAAAGTTCTAAATTACAGTGCCTTCAGAAAGTTTTTGTTGTGTTACAGCCTAAACTCCAAATGGATTAAATATATTTTTTCTCACCCATCTACATACAAAACCCCATAATGACAAAGTGAAAACATGTTTTTAGACATTTTTGCAAATGTATTGAAAAATAAATATCTCATTTACATAAGTATTCACACCCCTGAGTCAATACATGTTAAATTCACCTTTGGCAGCAATTACAGCTGTGAGTCTTTCTGAGTAAATATCTAAGAGCTTTGCACACCTGGATTGTACAATATTTGCACATTCTTTTAAAAATTCTTCAAGCTCTGTCAACTTGGTTGTTGATCATTGCTAGACAGCCATTTTCTTTCCATATATTTTCAAGCCAATTTAAGTCAAAACTGTAACTAGGCCACTCGGGAACATTCAATGTCATCTTGGTAAGCAACTCCAGTGTATATTTGGCGTTGTGTTTTAGGTTATTGTCCGGCTGAAAGGTGAATTTGTCTCACAGTGTCTGTTAGAAAGCACATTGAACCAGGTTTTCCTCTAGGATTTTGGCTGTGCTTAGTTCTATTCCGTTTCTTTTTATCCAAAAAAACTCCCTAGTCCTTGCCGATGACAAGCATACCCATAACATGATTCAGCCACCACCATGCTTGAAAATATGAAGACTGGTACTCAGAGATGTGTTGTGTTGGTTTTGCCCCAAACATAATGCTTGGCACTCATGAAATAAAGTTCATTTTACTTTAGTGCCTTATTGCAAACAGGATGCATGTCTTGGAATATTTTTTATTATTTTCACTCTGTCATTTAGGCTAGTATTGTGGAACAATGTTGTTGATCCATCCTTTTTCCTATCATAGCCATTAAACTCTGTAACTGTTTTAAAGTCACCATTGGCCTCATGGTGAAATCCTGAGCTAGGAAGGACGCCTTATGTTTGTAGTGACTAGGTGTATTGATACAGTACACCATCCAAAGTGTCATTAATAACTTCTCCATAGGTGCCCTTCTTTGCAAGGCGTTGGAAAACCTCCCTGGTCTTTGTGGTTGAATCTATGTTTGAAATTCACTGCTCGACTGAGGGACCTTACAGATAGTTGTATGTGTGGGGAACAGAGATGAGGTAGTCATTCAAAAATCATGTTAAACACAGAGTGAGTCCATGCAACTTATAATGTGACTTGTTAAGCACATTTTTACTCCTGAACTTATTTAGGCTTGCCATAACAAAGGGGTTGAATACTTATTGATTCATTTTAGCTTTTCATTTTTAGTTAATTTGTAAACAATTCTAAAAACATAATTCCACTTTGACATTATGGGGTATTGTGTGTAGGCCAAATGAATCCATTTTAGTTCAGGCTGTAACCCAACAAAATGTGGAAAAAGTAAAGCGGTGTGAATACTTTCTGAAGGCAAATGTATATTGTGATGCCTAATCAGATTTCTTTTTCAAGACAGGTTAAATTTCGCTAACTGTATGAAATTGGACCCCTGTAGGGTAAAATGTATTGTAGCTCCAGAAGTGTTAATTTAAGCAACAAGTTTATTGTTCTAGCAAAAATAGTCTGGTTTCCAGGCCTGTACCTGGACTAAAACATGTTGAAGAGTGAATCTATTGAAAGTGCTTTTTGGTCCAGGAATAGGCTTAATCTGGGTATCTGAAACCAGCCCAACGTTCAACCTGATATTCTTCATTTGCTACCATATGTGACTATATGGTACAACTTTGTATTGCCATTGCATGCTACATCAAGAAAATGACACAAGAAACATACATTTTCTTAAAAGATAAGTATATAAATCAACAGTTCCGGGGTAACCAGGGCCCGTATTCATAAAGCATCTTCAAGTAGAAGTGCTGATCCAGGATTAGGTCCCCCCTAATACATGTAATCTTATTCATTATGATCTAAAATACAAAACTGATCCTAGATCAGCACTCCTACTCTGAGGCACTTAATGAAAACATGCTCTGGTCTTCCTTGTCATTTGCATGTTTCTGTATACTGCGTGACATCATCAGTCAAAACACCCCCTTTAAAAACCCCCCCCACCCCTAAAACCCAAGGCCAATTTCTATTCCCCCCCCCCCCCCCCTTTTTCCCGGGTGGTTTTTTTTGTTTTTTTCGGCTCCTTCAAATTTCCTTCATTTTAAAAAAGGGGGTCCCCACCCCCAAATTTAATTGGAGGGGAAATTGGAAAAAGAAATTTAATTTTAATTTTAAAATAAAAGGGGGGGTGGGGTTAGGGGGGAAATTTAAGAAATGTGGGGGGGTTTGGGGGGAAAAAAGGGGGGTTAAGGGTGGATTAAAAATTTTTTTGGGGGCCTTTTTTTGGGGTTTTTTTTTGGGTTTTTTTAAAAAAAGGGCCCTTTCTTTTTTCCCTTTTTTTTTTTCCCTCCTCCCTTTTCCCTTTTTTTTTTTTTTTTTTTTTTTTTTTTTTTTCCCCCCCTCCTCTTTTTTTTTTCTTCCTCCCCTTTTCTTTTTTTTCTTGGGGGGGGGCCCCCCCCGGGGGAAAAAAAGGGAAAAGCTTTTACTTTGGGGAAAAGGGGGGGGTTTTGTGGGGAATGGGGGGGGGGGGGAATAAGGGGGAAAAGAAGGGGGAAGGGGGGAGGGGAAGGGGGGGGGGGGTTTTTTTTATTTTTTTTGGGGGGAAGAAGGGGGGGGAAAAGGGGGGAAAGGGGAAAGGGGGAAAAAAAAAGGGGGGGGCCTTTTATTTTAAAAGAAAACCGGAAAGGGGTTTTGGGGAAAAGAAAAAAGGGGAGGGGGGCGGGGGAAAGGGGGGGGGGGGGGGGGGGAAGGGGGGAGGGAAAGGAGGAGGGGGGGGGGGGGCCGGGAAAGGGGAAGGGGGGAAAAGGGGGGAAATTGGGGAGAAAAAGGGAGATGGGGGGAAAAGGGGGGGGGGTTTTGGGGGGGTATCTTTCAGGGGCAGGAAGGGGGCAGAGGGTCCCGCGTCCCCTAACTCCCGTAGGGGGGCCGGACCAGAAAAAAACATGCTCGTTTAAAAAGTTTTGATAAACCCCTTGATACACCTCTCCACTGCTACCACCTTGGATTTAAGAAACACCTCTTAATAGTTTAAATGGTAATTACTTAATTCAACCAAATAGTGCAGTTGTTAAGGTAAATTAACATCATTCAATACAAAAAGATGACATCAACCCAGTCATATTGAAACCCTGCCAAATAGAGAGACATGGGATTCACTACTACACTGTCTGGGAACAGGAGGAGTTATTACACTGGTTCTCCTCTGATGTGCCCTGGGGAGATTATGAGGCATGCCAGGGAATAGACTGCATGGGTGAGGACAGACACATCAGTCTCACTGGGTGATGGCTAAGCAGCTAGTGCAGCTAGCTTTGGATAAGAAGGGGATTTAGCTGATATTTAGACACTTAAATGCAGACTCATTCAGAATGGAGAAAAAGAGGCCTAATGGGTACGTTGAAAGCCTGAGGGGAACAATGCGCTTGTTAGCTAACAAGGCAGATCAATGGGAAACACAAAGGTTCAAGTGTCGTGAAATCGATTGCTAGCCTTTAACAATTAGCCGTTAGCTTTAGCGGAGAGTTAGGTCTTGCCGCAGGTAGGTTTAATTTATTCAGAGGTCATTTTGATCTTGTAATAAAATTAATTCCTTAAATAAAATTATCTTTATCAATACTCCATTTATTGTCTACTTTAACAATCAAGGCCAAGCTCACATCATATAGCAAGAGACCACTCAGAAATGGATAAGAATTTAGCAAAAATCAAGTAGACCCTATGGTTACCTTGAAATAATTGAATTGATTTATTCCATGAAATACTACAGAAATGCAAAAGAAAATGGGTAAATTAGCAACGCTATAACCTTGGCAGTGCAGCAATGGCAGCCTAAAGAAAGTTTTAAATGGCAAGCAAAAATAATCACTGATGTAACGTTAAAGTTCTGTGATTGTCACATCCTATTGCCTCCCTGAATCCACGTGTACACTTTTCCTATGAGAAATGTCACCAAAGACGCTTATTACTAAGACAGACAACATTTCCCATAGGAACTTTATGATAGAAACTACAATGCAACATTGAAACCAACCCTCTTGGCTTCACATCCCCTTTGATGTTACTGACCTGACTCCAGTTTTGCACAAGTGAACCAGGTAGAGGAAAGAAAAGAAAACAGTTCTATGGAGGGATGCACTCAAGGAAGTCCATTTTGTGCCAGTCCCATATGTAGAGGGTTGAACACCATTCCTGCATCGCCTCGAACATGACTATCTCATCGGTCTGAGACATATGTAGAAGCTTTAACGCTTCACTGGTGTGGAGTCGCTAAAACTGTTACGATAACAAATGGAGTGCCAGAAAGTGCTCTCACTCAGTGGTGCCTGCTAAGCTAAATGAAGCTTTTTGGGAAGTGTGACTGAGGTAACAGGTTTGCCCAAGGGGCCTGGCATGGGCACACTGCCGTTTTATAAAATTTTGAAGCCAGTCAGGTCTATGAAAGAGGTTCAAAACAATATGGAGAAGAGGGGGGAAAGTGAGGAAGTGCATAGAGAACAACAGCACTGCAGCAGAAGGACTTGAAAAGGGAAGTCTTTGGGATCTGGCCTGATCCCTTTCGGTGTAGGCAGGCTACAGGGCCAGTGATGCTTAACCCTTTTCCAAAGCACACGTCTTTCAGAGAGAAGCTTGTCGTGACTCACCAGTTCTGGCTACTTCTTTCATTTCAACCTCCGTTCCATATGAGGTCACAGTTTGAGAAGGAGTGGCATTTTAGAAAGAACATCCAGTTTGGGGATAAACTTCATGCCTCCTCAAGTAGAAACAGTGATATCCTGAAATGGACATTGCGCAATCTTTCCTATTGCAACTGCCCATCGGAAACCGATTCAAGTACACTTTGGGGCTCCCTACGTTACAATACAAAATGGTCAACTTGAAACATCACA